TAACTGTCCTTTAGGGTTATTGTGGAAATAAATGCATGTATGGTGCTTAGCACTGTGCTTAGTAAAAGTGTAATAAATATTAGATTGGAGTGGTAGCAAAGTGATGTGTTTCTGAATTAGGGTAGTAGTTACAAAAAGATGGAGTTTTTGATAAATGAGGATGAGGTTAAAGCTGATTCTAAGATTTTTTGCCTCAATGATAGGTAGGACAAGTATTAGGGAAGCCTTTTGAGGGCACGGACTGTAGAATTTTCACATTTGTATCCCTACCAGGGAGCTATCAAATTAGAGTAGCTCAATAAATGATTTTTTTAGAAGTGAACAAATAAGTTTAAAGTTGTTTAGTTATCAAAGGTCAAAGATTTAGTGATGCTTCAATTTGAGAAAGAAACCAGTAGAGCTAGTTTTGAAAAAAGTAAAAACTAAGTTTATCAATCTTTTTAAATTTTTAACAGCACAGTGGTGGAAGTGGTGTTTTAACACATAAAACATCATTATGTAACAATGTTTAGAAAGACAACAAAGGATGTATTCTTTTTCACTGCCTTCATAGTTTCAAAATGTAGCAGGGGTAAACCAAGATACAAATGGATCAAGGTACAGCTCCTCCTGACGTCCCTCCATTTGTACACAGATAGGTCCCTAAAGTTCTGTTTCCTGTGTGTGTGTGTGTGTGTGTGTGTGTGTGTGTGTGTCCTGAGATTATATTTTTAAAGTTTTCAAGGTTAAATTTGTGGTTTTTAAATAAATTAAAAGGTTACTTTTTGTTGTATAAATGATCACTTTTAACAATCATTTTAATTTTGTGAATTGCATTATTTTTAAAAGGCACACTTTTATTTCCTTTAGCTAGGTGATGGCTTCCGAAGAACTGGGGTAGCTGCAGAATATGAGTAGTTCCCTTAGAAGATTGCATTGCCTTTGGCACAAGCATCAGAATAAAGGTGAATTGTTTTTCCATATGGTTTTTCAGTAAAAGTCACGGAAAAGTAAGTGATGTTTTTATTTTAGATATGTTTCTAAGAGTATGCATAGTGGCAAGAATTAACCATTTTCTTCTGTTTTTAGTAACAGTTTTCATGCTTTAGCATGTTTTCTTTTGTTTTAACTACAGAATGCCCTTCTAGATAAGGATACTTTCAAAGCAGTACTAAAATAGGAACATTTATTAATTATTTTTAAGCTGTAGGTTTTTATTTTTTGTTAATTCTCACTGAAGGATATTTTCCCCCTTGCTTTTTAGAGTAAGTGGAAGGAAGAGAGGGAGGAAGAGAGAAAGAAACATCGATGTGTAGAGAGACAGACACATCAATTGGTTGCCTCCTGTGCACTCCCTACCTGAAATGGGGATCAAACTTGCAACTTAGATATGTGCCCTTGACTGGGAATGGAATCATGACCCTTCAGTGCAGGGGCTGACACTCTGACCATTGAGCAGTACTGGCTGGGGCTAAAATAGGAGTATTTAAATATCTGTCCAAGGTGTAGAAACATTTTTGATAATGTTATTGAGCTTTCATAAAATGCTCAAGGTTGAATGGTAGTTTTAATAATTGTGAAGAAATTTAGGAAAAGGAGAATCTGAATGGTGTACTTAAAGAATGAGTTTGAGTTTTTATTATATTTCATCTTCCTAATATCACTTTGGTAGAGAATTAGCATTACAGAGTTCAGAGAAGTCTTATCTTGGTTCCAGGTTTATAGGAAGTTTAACAGCTACTGAATTATGCTAAATATTGAAAAAGAAACTTAAAAAATAGATATAGTTAATTCATTTAGTACAAGAGCAGTTAATGGACTAAATTAAGGCATTAAAAGTTTTATTTTATTGGTTCTGCTAGTTTTATGTCCTGCACCTTTCAGGGTTTCTTTCTTCAAAGAAAGAGTGGTTGCTAATAGAAAAGGTTAAGAAAATATTAAATATTTGAAGTAAAATTTTATATATGTTATTGAAACTGCATCAAATATTGAAAATTATATAGAGAAACAAGTAACAAGTTTTTATTTGTGATTAACTTTAGTGAACATTGAAATCTTCACCTTAAATTTTTGTTAAATACAATTTTTAAAAACAAGGTGTTTTTGTTTGTTTGTTAAGTATATTTTATTGATTTTTTTTTACAGAGAAGAAGGGAGAGAGATAGCTAGAAATGTCAATGAGAGAGAAACATCGATCAGCTGCCTCTTGCACAACCCCTACCGGAGACGTTCCTGCAACCAATGTATTTGCCCCTGACTGGAATCGAACCTGGGACCTTTCAGTCCGCAGACTGATGCTCTACCACTGAGCCAAACCGATTTCGGCTGTTTTTTTTTTTTTTTTTAGGAATTCAAGGTTAATAACCTTTATTTATTTTTGGTCTGTAAGGTACTGATTTATTTGCTATTTTTGTTGTTGTTTACTCTTAATCTAGAGGCCCAGTGTATGAAATTTGTGCACCGGTAGGGTCTCTAGGCCTGGCTGGCGATCAGGGCTCATGGTGGCATTCTGACTGCTGGCCAACGACTTCCTTTGTTCCATACTGCCTCCTGGTGGTCAGTGCACATCATAGTGAGCAATAGAATTCCCAGTCGAACTCTCGCAGGGACTCTTTGCATATTAGCCTCTTATATATATATAGATATAGATAGTGAGTTATTTCATGTATGTCAGACACTGTCCTAACGGAGTTATAATGATTAAAGGACATATTCCCTGCCAAAACCGGTTTGGCTCAGTGGATAGAGCGTCGGCCTGTGGACTGAAAGGTCTCGGGTTCCATTCCCATCAAGGGCATGTACCTTGGTTGTGGGCACATACCCAGGAGGGGGTGTGCAGGAGGCAGCTGGTCGATGTTTCTCTCTCATCGATGTTTCTAACTCTCTATCCCTCTCTCTTCCTCTCTGTAAAATATCAATAAAATATATTTTTTTTAAAAAAATAAAGGACATATTCCCTGTCTTTAAGTAACAGAGCCTAGATAGAGACAAAGAGGTAAACAGTTTATATAAACTAAAGAATTTCTATAATATAATTTGATGAGCACTTTACTAACAGTGAGCACAGAGTATAATAGAAGAACAGAGAAACATTAAACAATGTCAATGTGGATATGGTGTGAGAGTAAAATGAAAGGTAGCTAGGAAAGCTCCTTAAAGAAAAAAATATCTAAGTTGAGCCTTGATTTTATAGACAGGAGAAAAAATTATGGAGGATGGGGAAAGTACATAAAAATCCTATAAACATTGACGACAATGTATACATAGCATGAGAACATGTGGCTTTTTTAGGGAAATTATAAGTGGTTCAGATGGTTGGATTTGGAGAGCTTGTTGGGAATAGAGGTAAGAAGGTCCTGAATCATGAAGGGGGTTTATGTCATGTTAATGAGTTTAGATTTTATTATGAGGGCAATGGGGAGTCATTGAATAATATTAAGGAAAAAAATAATGTGATTTTATCTGCAGCTCATTATAAAAATGTCTGGAAGGTGTATGGAGGTAGAATTGTCAGTACTCTGCCTTGACCTTCCATCCCCAGTCCCATATCAATAATCATCAACAGAGAAATCAAAAATAACTCATTAAGAGCTGGGGTCTATTTAATGCCTAATGTGTGTTAATTCTCCAACACTAGCATTTGCTATTCCTGTTTTTACAATTGAAAAAACAAATTGTTAGAAAAGATAAGTTATAAATAACTTCAGAGCTGGTTCCTGATACCTAGACCTAGTATGTTTTGATGAGTACTTTACTAAAGCTTTTCTAGGTTAGCTGTTTTTGCAGATGCAAAAGTTAATGAATTTTTAAAAATTTATTATAAGCAATAATCTGTATTAGAGCAGTATTTTTAGAGATTTGAAGTGTATAAATAAAATTTGTTTTAACAGCCGAAACCAGTTTGGCTAAGTGGTAGAACGTTGGTCTGTGGACTGAAAGGTCCCGGGTTCGATTCCGGTCAAGAGCATGTACCTTGGTTGCGGGCACATCCCTGGTAGGAGGTGTGCAAGAGGCAACTGGTTGATGTTTCTCTCTCATCGACGTTTCTAGCTCTCTATCTCTCTCCTTTCCTCTCTGTAAAAAATCAATAAAATATGTTTTTAAAAAAATTTGTTTTAACATTATGTGTGATGTAATTTGATCTGAAATACATCGTAAAGATACTTGGAAGGTATATGGATGTAGAATTGTATAATACATATGCTATTTAATAGCAAGAAGTTTGTTTGGGAAATTTGAATATTTGTCATGGATAAAATTGATAGTCTTTCTAGGAATTATAATATTAAATATAAATGATAGATGATTCTTAGGAAGACAGATTATATTGTTACTTTTCCCCCCCCTAGAAAATAAATGGTTTCTCAAATAATTCTGGAGGTTAAACTAATTTGATTTTTCTTATAGTTTTGTATTCATTTAATGTCTTCTAAACATGTGGCTATGCTTAGACTACTTGGTGATATGCTTTGATATTTTAGAAGGAACTCCATTCTAAGAAATGAAGTCAGATGATTGAAAATATATTTTTACTTATATGTGAAGTTCAAGATGTATTAGTATTTATGAAAGAATGTAAAAATTGGTCACATTGAGAATGGAATCTTTAGTATTACCGATTGGCATGCCTTTAGTGGCACACATTGATTTGTTAATGGTGCAAAATGCAAAATTTAGGCACTAATAGACACAGATGCAAGACACATGGCAAAGAAGAGAATGTGTATAGAAGTAAATGTTGGTTAGATTCAGACACTTAACAAGAGTGACTGCTTTAGTTGTCTTTCTTATCTGTACCATCCCGCTAATCAAGGCCTTTGAGGATGCTTAATGAAATGTGGTTTATGGAAATGGAGAAAAAGACATATAAAATGGTTCACTAAATGTTCTCTTTCATACACTTATTTTAATCACTAGTAAATTGTAACTTTTAATTTTCTTTTTCTTTCTTAGAATCTGTCGAGTGAAGTTGTATTTTTGTTTTATAATTTTGCTAGAAGCAATTTATTTTTAAAGAAAATATGTCTCCTCTGAAGCTATATGGTCCTATCAGAATTCGAAGTATGCAGACTGGGATTACAAAATGGAAAGAAGGATCCTTTGAAATTGTGGAAAAAGATAATAAAGTCAGCCTAGTCGTTCACTACAACACTGGAGGAATTCCAAGGATATTTCAGGTACTACCAACTTTTGATTTGGAATAGATCTTCCATCACATCCTTTAGTGAATAGCTATTCTGTGCCATATTGAGAATCATGGTAGCCCTTCTACTAGATTAATAGTTCTTATTTTTTATTTCCAGGACACTGATACTGTTATGTTCTTATTTTATAAATTATTCAGCAGCATTATAGATAATATATAAAAGAGCTGGAAGTAGTCACCATTATTGAAAAGAAAGCTTGTGGAAGATGAGAGGAACTATCTAAGCTATTTTATTATTATTTTTTTAATATATTGATTTTGTACAGTGAGGAAGGGAGAGAGATAGTTAGAAACATTGATGAAAGAGTCATCCATCAGCTGCCTCTTGCACACCCCCTACTGGGGATATGCCCCAACCAAGGTACATGCCCTTGACCGGAATCGAACCCGGGACCTTTCAGTCCCCAAGCCGACGCTCTATCCTTTGAGCCAAACCGGTTTCGGCTATTTTTTATTTTATTTTATTTTATTTTATTATTATTTTTTTAAATATATTTTGATTTTTTATGGAGAGGAACAGAGAGGGATAGAGAGTTAGAAACATCGATGAGAGAGAAAATCGATCAGCTGCCTCTTGCACACCCCCTACTGGGTATGTGCCCGCAACCAATGTACATGCCCTTGACTGGAATCGAACCCAGGACTTTTCAGTCCCCAGACCGACGCTCCATCCACTGATCCAAACCGGTTTCGGCTATCTAAGCTAATTTATTTTATTTATTATTATTTTTTTAAAATATATTTTATTGATTTTTTACAGAGAGGAAGAAAGACAGAGAGCTAGAAACGTCGATGAGAGAGAAACATAGACCAGCTGACTCTTGCACACCCCCTACCAAGGATATGCCTGCAACCAAGGTACATGCCCTTGACCGGAATCAAACCAGGGACCCTTCAGTCCGCAGACCGATGCTCTACCAATGAGCCAAACTGGTTTCGGCTATCTAAGCTATTTTAAATACCACATTAGAATAACTTTATTCTGCTGAAGCCGGTTTGGCTCAGTGATAGAGCGTTGGTCTGCCAACTGAAGGGTCCCGGGTTTGATTCCAGTCAGGGGCATGTACATTGGTTGTGGGCACATCCCCGGTGGGGGCGTGCAGGAGGCAACTGGTTGATGTTTCTCTCTCATTGACGTTTCTAACTCTCTATCTCTCTCCCTTCATCTCTGTAAAAAATCAATAAAATATATTTAAAAAAAAAAGAAATGAAATGCGATTACTTCCTTTTTTATGCTGTTCAGAGAGTATGTCTTCACGAAAAGGTAGCTTTAGAAACTTTGGTATACGCCTTCTGAGGGAGAATGTTAAAGAACAAGTTTGCCTGATTGACAGGAATTATTTAGGTAATAAAGAAACCACAAAATATATTAATTCTAGGAAAAATTTCAGCCAAGAGAATAGAAAAGTTATCACTTGAAAGCACGTGTTCAGAGTCTGGAAGGGTATAAGACAAGTTACTGAACCAGATCTGGGGATTGGGAGAAGTAAGCTAAGATAGTTCTAGCGTGCTCATGTTGTGATTGAATAAAAGTAAAATGAGCCTGCTTAAACAATTAAAAAAGAAAAAAGAAAGATGTTCCTATACTGGTAAAGTTTTGTTTCAGTGTGTGTTTGAAAGTGGAATTCTTTTGAGGATTATAATTTGGATTACTATGTCCTTTTTACATTATAGCTATTTACACCATTTACCAGATATGCTATAAGGTTTTGTTGAAAAGGAAAGGAAAGCCTCTGATCCACTATGGCAGCCGTCGCCAGCTGGTGGGCCTGGTCCGTGAGGTCCGAAAGGTTGGCAGCCGCTGGTTTTAAGAGCCCTTTGGAGCAGTGGTCGCCAACCGGCACTCCTCGCGGTCCGAAAGGTTGGCGACTGCTGCACTTTGGGCTTTCTAAACTGGTGATGGTAAAAACCATCCAAACTCTGAAAATTAACTCACTTGGTCTTTTTAAAAATTAATTTATTTTTAAAGTTTTATTCAATTGATTGGGGTGGCATTGGTCAACATGAACATAGGTTTTATGTGAGGGTTTCTATGTTACAGGATTAGTTTATTGCACTGTTTGCCCACCTTCTAAAGTCAAATATCTTCTCCTGTCACTTTGTATTAGGACCCCCTTCTAACTCACTAATTTTTATAACTTTGTAACTACCTGAAAATATGCAATTTCCTGCCATAAAAACAAGACTGGTAAGATTACAATATAAAATGAAATTTAATACTATGTGTTTGCCTCTTCTAAAAATGAAATCTTTTATTTAAATGTGTCAAGAAGTAGGAACTATTTTTGGTTAGGAGGAAATCCTAATGTGGGGAAGAGTAAGAAATGTAACTTAGAAAGTATAAAGTTTAGTATTCATTATACAACATATACTTCATTATCAGGTTTTTAATAAGATCATTCTCCTTTTGTGTTTTCCAGCTAAGTCATAACATTAAAAATGTGGTGCTTCGACCCAGTGGAGCAAAACAAAGCCGCCTAATGTTAACACTACAAGATAACAGCTTCTTGTCTATTGACAAAGTACCAAGTAAGGATGCGGAGGAAATGCGGCTGTTTCTGGATGCAGTCCATCAGAACAGACTCAATGCAGGTGAGCACTACTATCCCAAGTTCTGACTTTAGTAGTTATAAAAGAATATTACTAGGCTGTAGACCACTATCCCTGGTGAATATTTATGCAAAAATCCTCAACAAAGTATTAGCAGACCAAATTCAACAGCACATTAAAAGGATTACACTATGATCAAATGAGTTTTATTTCTGTAATGCACGGATGGTTTAAGATACAAAAAAAAAAAAAATCAAACACCAAATTAACAGAATGAAGGACAATAAACCAATGTGATCATCTCGATGCAGAAAAAACATTTGATAAAATTCAGCACCCTTTCATGATAAAAAATACTCAATAAACTAGAAATTGAAGGAAACTACCTCACAAAGGCTATATGTGAAAGCCTACAACTAACATCACAATGATGAAGACTAAAAGATTTACCTCTAGGATGAGGCGCAAGCCAAGGATGCCCTCTCTCACCATTTCTTTTCTTTTTTATGTTTTTAATCCTCAAGGATACTTTTTCATTGGTTTTTAGAGAGTGGGAGAGAGAAACATCGATGTGAGAGAAATGCATCGATTGGTTGCCTCCTGCACGCACCCTGGCCAGGGGAGGAGCCTGCAACCGGGGAAATGCAGTTGTTTCTCGATGCAGTCTGTCCTGGGGAGCAGCCTGCAACTGAGGTACATGCCCTTGACCGGAATTGAACTCGGGACCCTTCGGGTCCACAGGCCAACACTTTTACCACTGAGTCAAACCAGCTACAGCCCCTCTCTCACCGGTTCTATTCAGCATAGTACCGGAAGTCCCAATCAGAGTATCCTTTATTTTACACCAGCAGTTCTTATTTTGAGTTATTCTATAAAAATTGTACCATTAGTGCAAGGGATGTCAAAGGATGTTCAGCATTATTTTCAATTTTTAAAAATTAAAACATTCCAATGATCATCAGTGGGAATTAAGTATAAAATATCTTTTAAAGTATACAGCACTTTGAGTGTTCTTTATTGTTGATTTCTTTGGAATACAAGCCATTTCACTTGCTGAACTTAACAGAGAATGTTTTGAAGTATACATTATTAGAAATATATCTGTCACTGGTTCTGACATGTCTTCTTGGCATTCATCCAATGTTCATACCATAGGCACATGGTGACTAACTTCTATAGCGTTAATTACCAAATATTGATATAGGAGAATTTCTAGCATTTAATTTTACATTTATAATTTTGTCCTAGCCCTAGCCAGTTTGGCTCAGTGGATAGAGCATCGGCCTGCAGACTGAAGGGTCCCAGGTTCAATTCCGGTCAAGGGCAGATGCCCAGGTTGCAGGCTCAATCCCCTACTGGGGCGTGCAGGAGGCAGCCAATCAATGATTCTCTCTCATCATTGATGTTTCTATCTATCCCTCTCTCTTCCTCTCTGACATAAAAATATATTTTAAAATATATATAATCCTCATAACAACCCTATGAGATATTTTAAAATATAAAATCTTGTCCTATTATATGTTTTCAAATTTTTGCATGTTATTTCATTTTTTGTTTGAGACTGGCTCTAACTTTTAATTACTATTTATATCAAATGTGCTTTCTATTCAGAAAGAATTGGTTAATAAGCACTTTAATTTATTTCTGCTTTACTTCTCCAATGTTATATAATAATGATGGCAAATCTCTATTAAAATAAGTGATTTGGGATTTTTTTTTTTTTTTTCTTTTGCACTAGCCATGAAGCCTTCTCAGGGGTCTGGTAATTTTGGAGCTATTCTGGGCAGTAGGACCTCACAGAAGGAAACCAACAGGCAGCTATCTTACTCAGACAATCAGGTATGTTCATTTGAGTCTAAAAGCTTTTTAAGAAATGATTGATATTCTATAAGATAATTGCAGGAAGTAGAATTTAGACTAATGCCTAATAATTCTGGCTTTGTTATAAGGGTCTTTTCCACATACTTGAAATTTACCATTTTAGCTATTTCAGTCTCTTCAACTATTTTTTATGAACGCCTTTCTAAAATTTATCACTTTCTTCCCTACTTACATACAGTTTTACAGAACACAATTTAATATATGCTCAATGTCTTATACCTTCTGAACTGCAATAAAGTACAGTATAGTTTTTAAAAGCATAGCTTTAGAGTTGTATGTGAACTTGATTTGGTGCTGACATTTAATAGCTGTGAGTGATTAGAGGAGTTTTTTTGTTTTTTTTAATATATTTTATTGATTTTTTACAGAGAGAAAAAGAGGGATAGAGAGCTAGAAACGTCGATGAGAGAGAAACATTGACCAGCTGCCTCTTGCACACCCCCCACCGGGGATGTGCCCGCAACCAATGTACATGCCCTTGACCAGAATCGAACCTGGGACCTTTCAGTCCACAGACCGATGCTCTACCACTGAGCCAAACTGGTTTCGGCAGAGGAGTTCTTTTAACTATTCTAAGCTTTAGCAACCATCCGTAAAATTGAGCTGCAGTGATATTTTAAGGGTTGCTGTGAAATAATGCATGTGAATACCATACACTAACAACCTGGTCAGAGTCTGCTGCTACTATTTCTGTGATGGTGTTTGTGTGTGTACTACATTATGACCTTTGCCCCACACTATATGATACCAGACTCTTTTGTTGAAGTCTTCTGTTTGCTTTTTAAATAGTTTTTCTTTCATAAATACTCAGCTAGACATGAGATTTGCTATGCATTGTTGCAATATAGCGTTCCTATGTCTCAATTTTTTTTACAAAGGGAAACTGGGCATAAAAAACTTTGGAACTGATTACTTTTATTTGGCTGTGCAGCGAGGTGATTAGTTAGTCTATTTACTGGGATAAGGAGTGAATAAAATTTTATTTTTGTTATTTTGTTTTATAGGATGGGTGGGATGTTTTTAGTTTGTTTTATAGGATGGGTGGGATTTTAGTTGAGGTATATTGACATTCAATAAATTGCACATAATTAAAGTACAGTTTGAAATGTTTTTACATACATATACATATCCCTAAAATCATCACCACAATCCAACCTAGTATACGTAGCCATAACCCTTAAAAATTTCCCCATTCTCCCTTTGTTGTCCTTCCCTCTCTCCTCCTCTTGGTTCCTATTCCTGAGTCACAGCTGATTTGCTTTCTGTCACTGTAGGTTAATTTGCATATTCTAGAGTGTATATGAATGGGATCAGTGTGTAATTGTTTTTTTTTGGGGGGGGGGAGAAGTCTGGCTTTTTCACTCAGCATTAACTACTTTAAAATTCACCCACTTACTAGTGTAGATAGAAATTTAAGCTTTTTGAATATTTAAATGTGTAAGCATTACTATGTATAGCAGAAGCAAATATTTATTCTCCATAAGTAATTCCTATTTCTAAGATTATAAAATTAATTTGAGGGTTGTGGCTAGTATTAAATAAGGAAAAAATAAAATAGAATAGGTATTATACATAGTAAGGATAAGTATTGGTTTTTGAAACTTGTTTCATTTCTATTTACGTGTATGTGTAATAGGTTGCAATGTAAAGTGTCCTACTATAGGATCAAATAAGGTTGAAGATAATGCAAAACAGTTTGCATATAGTATACTACCAATTATATAACAAAAAGAATAAAATATTGATTTGCCTTTGCATAAAGGAACAATTAAAAAATACTTATAAGGAGTAGGAAAATGAGAAGTGGAAAAATGGGTGGATGGCATTGGGGTGATGATGAAATTTTTCAGCATATGGTTTTTATAATAATATTTTGATTTTTGCGTGGGTTTTTATTTTTTATTCTGAACTTTAAAAAAAAAAAAACTTTATTGTTGAAAGTATTACATAGGTCCTTCTTTTTCCCATTAATCTCTTCCAGTATACCCTTGATCCCCCTGTATTTTGATTTTTAAAAATATATATATTTTATTGATTTTTTACAGAGAGGAAGGGAGAGGGATAGAGAGCTAGAAACATTGATGAGAGAGAATCATCGACCAGCTGCTTCCTGCACAACCCCCTACCGGGGATGTGCCCGCAACCAATGTACATGCCCCTGACCGGAATAGAACCTGGGACCTTTCAGTCCGCAGACCGACGCTCTACCACTGAGCCAAACCGGTTTCGGCTGTATTTTGATTTTTGAATCTTGAGTATGTAGAAAATAAGTGTAACTTTTTAAATTGTTCATGCAGAGAACATCAGATTTTTTTCTTCCCATATCTTAAGATTGTAATTCTGTAGAAAGCTATTAGGAATACCTTTCATTGACAAATGATGTAGCTCTTAATATAGTTATAAAATATCAATTTGGCAGAGTGTTGGTAGAAAGCACTATTTCCCAAGGTGTAGCAAAAGTTGTCAGTATGGGAAACAGTTTATTTGTATTATTATTTATTAATTATTGTATTATTTTCAATACAAACAACTAAGCATACTTTTGCTCCACCCTGTTGGTTTTTTTCAATTACATTCAAGAACATTTTCTCCAAATGTTCTTGCTGTATCTTGAGGGTAGTAGAGTATTTGATTTAGCTACTGCCAGTGATCTCTATGTCACTATCATTTTCCCCATCATTACATATATTTGTTTCATTTTTCCAAACTGGAACCCCTTCAAAAGTCATAATGAAGTACATGTGACTTGGCATTTGAATTGTGCAACTAAATGTAATTGTTGCTCCTTTATGTCACATCTATGTCATTTTAGGGCAGTCATACTGGGAAAAATAGAAGGCAGCAGAAAAAGAGGAAGACAAAAACTAAGATGGATTGACACCATAAAAGAAGCCATAAGCATGTTTCTACAGAAGCTGAGCAGGGCAGTGAGGATAGGACATTGTGGACAGCACTGATTCCTAGGGTTGCCAGGAGTTGGATACTACTCATTGGCACATCATACAAACATCACTTTAATTCATCATAATTATAATTGGGTCTTTCTGTAAAGATTTATTTCCATTGTGGTTATTAGAACCGTGTCTTTTATATGTGAACCCTTTTTAAAAAATAATTCACAGTATTTCCCTTCGGCCTCCGGATATGTTTTGGAATTTTTAAGTTTATAAGAATACTATACGGGGGAAAACGTTGCTCAATTTATGACACTGATCATATTTAGAATCTCCTAGGGTGCTTAAAAAGTATATACTGATGAAGGAGCCTCACCCCACACCGGTTAGGTGAGAGTCTCTGGAGGAGGGTCTCCAGCTCTGTGTGTTTTCATACTTCCCCGCTTGAGAATCACTGACTAAAAGTTTGCCAGTTAATTTGACGATTTGCTATTTCAAACTTTATTCTGACAGGCCTCTTCAAAAAGAGGAAGCTTGGAAACTAAAGATGATAGTCCATTTCGAAAAGTTCTTGGTACTCCAGGTAGAGGATCGATGAAGACTGCAGCAGGAAATGGAATAACTGTCACCCGAACGATTCCGTCTTTGACATCTACATCAACGCCTCTTAGATCAGGGTTATTAGAAAATAGGTATGAAAGACCCTTTTTTCTTTCTTAGTCGTTAGCTGTGCCTGTTTATAAATGTCTTTTAAGCTTTATAGAAAGACTAGTTATTTGAGAAAAAGAGTGAGAGTTTTTGGTTAGTCAAATGTGTTAGAAGAAAGTATAGAGAGCATTTGGGGTAGATAATTAGCATTTGTCTTTGTGGCTTATTCGGTGGCACATATTGAGGGTGCAGATATATGATATGCTATTTCACATGAGGCATAGAGAATTAGCAGTGGTCACAGTAGCTGTCCTTGAGTGTGTTGTTTAATACTTTTTAATGGCATGAATTCTGGCTTTTTAAAATGAGGTCCTTTTCTCTGTTCTCTATAGAACTGAAAAGAGGAAAAGAATGCTGTCTGGCTCGGAGTTGAATGAAGATTACCCTAAGGAAAATGATTCATCATCGTAAGTTGCTTTAAGAGCCTTTAAGGCCCTAAGTCAGTATTTGTTATAGTGGCAATTATAACTGCGAGGGGAGATTATTCAATTTATGGGAATTCCAAAGATAGAAGAGCAGAATTTCAAGTATTTTGGTGATATTATAGATTGACCATTGCTATTGCTTTGATCATTTGATTGCACTTCTCCCATTATAGGTTATTAGAAAAATCTGCAGTACTTAGAGGAACAACAGAGATGAAGAACTCTTAATAAGTGTTTCTTGCTGTTTGCTCTTTTAGAGTGAAATCCTTCTTTCCCTCTTCCCTTTACCTACAAAATTTTTTTTACCTTATTCATGTGAAAAGTTAGCTTAGGGGTAAAAAAATACGTAAACCACATATAGTTTCTAGCCATGGAGTATCAATCTTTTAGAGTTATTCTCTGGGTTGAACAAAAAAGGCATCCACCTGTACCAAGACAGTCACCAGCTCACATCCTCTTTTTTCCTCATGGGGGAGAAAACTTAACTTACACAGTTTTTAGTTAATACCTCAGTTAACGCCTTAACAAAAATCCATAGTCAGTCAGCTGGTATTCGAAGTTAAGAGGTCACCATGAAAGAACAGGGAAAAAGCTGAAGAAACTTTATATATTAATTGGGATCTTGGTTGTGCTGCTGAAATAAATGTAAAAATCTGGGTAGGTAATAGGACTGGTATGGTATATAAAGCCACAATCACCAGGGACTCAAACTCCTTTTAAGGACAGTGAACTCGTTGGTTCACTGTCCTTAAGCTTCCATTTTGCTTCAGTCTTTGCTCTCATGTCTGCATTCCTATCAGTGGGAAGAAAGAAAGAGGAGCAAAGAGAGGGCATACTGCTTTCCTTTAGGCTGGAAATTATACGCACAATTTTTTGTATGTCACGTTGACAAGAACCTAGTCAAATGGTTATATCAAGTTGTATGGAAGACCAGTAAGTAAGTCTAGCCCAAATTTTATAATGGCAGAAGGGTACAGTGTTATTTGGGGACAACTAACAGGCTGTCGTAGTTTACCCCTATATCCACAGAAATAGCCCTGATTATTACCTATGTAAGAACACTCTTTCCCCCATCCTAATAAAAATAGCCTCCAAATCTCACTTAGTCCTGTATCCAGCTCCAAGTCCAGGGTCACTGTGATGGGCAGTCCTCTCTAGAAGGTCCAGGGCTGCTCTTTTGTACCAGGTGCCTCATGGTCTGGTTCCTAAAATCTGCATTCCCCACGCCCATCTCCACACATACCATCATACAGGCATATCTCAGAGTTACTGTGGTTTAGTTTCAGATCACTACAGTAAAGGAAATATTGCAATAAACTTACACAAGTTTTTTGGTTTCCCAGTGCTTGTGTTTATACTGCAGCCTGATAAGTATACAATAGCATTATATCTTTAAAAAAACAACAAGAGTATACCTTAATTTTAAATACTTTATTGCCAAAAACAATTGCTAACCGTTATTTGAACTTCTAGTGGGTCATAATCTTTTTGCTGTTAGAGGATCTTCAATTTGCAAAAAAAAAAAAAAAAAAGTGCTGTGCAAAGTGCAATAAAATGAGATATGCCTGTACATAGCTGGAGTAAGCACAGGAGATTCACAATAAAAATTTTGATTTAGAATGGACAGAATAGGATACTGAAAGAGTCACTAGTCTATGGCAGCAATAAAATCTTGCTAGGCAGAAATTGTGAAGGCATGGGAATAAGTTATTTATTTTTTATTGATTTGAGAGAGAGGGAGGGAGAGATAGAAAACATCAATGATGCTGAAACCGGTTTGGCTCAGTGGATAGAGGGTCAGCATGCGTACTGAAAGGTCCTGGGTTTGATTCTAGTCAAAGGCATGTACCTTTCTTGCGGGCACATCCCCTGTAGGAGGTGTGCAGAAGGAGCTGGTAGATGTTTCTAGCTTTCTCTTTCTCTCCCTTCCTCTCTGTAAGAAAATCAATAAAATATATATAAATTTTTAAAATCACAAAAAACATCAGTGATGAGAGAGAATCATTGATCAGCTGCCTCCTCCATGCCCTCCACAATGGGTATTGAGCCCACAACCTGGAATCAAACTGGGGACCCTCAGTCCACAGGACACACTATCCACTGGGTAAAAGCAGCCAGGACAGGGGAGTAAATTCTTGATTAGCAAATGTAGCAATCTCTGTTCTTCCCTCTGAGAGAAATCCTTGTTCATTGTGTCCATATGACTCCTGGCTTTGTCCTTTGGTAGGTTTTCTTTGTTATCTTTCAAGGCTACAGCTGAAGGTTTGGAAAACTGTTCTTCTTTGTAGCCTGTTTCATGCTGGTGCAAATCTAAAAGTTTCTTTAAAGGCAGAATAAGCAGGTTTTTATAGGGTCCAAAAAGAATTTGGACCAATATTTTGGTTTTGTTTGTTTGATCATTTTAAGAAAACTTTTAAATTTTGGAATAATTGCCGAAACCAGTTTGGCTCAATGGATACAGCGTCAGCTTGTAGACTGAAGGGTCCTGGGTTCGATTCCGGACAAGGGCATGTACCTTGGTTGCAGGCATATCCCCAGTACGGGGTGTGCAAGAGGCAGCTGACCGATGACTCTCTCTCATCGATGTTTCTAACTCTCTATCTCTCTCCTTTCCTCTCTGTACAAAATCAATAAAATATATTAAATTTTGGAATAATTTTAGATTTACAGAGAAGTTACAGAAATGAAATGGAGTGTTCCTATATATTCCTCACCCATTTCCCCTAATACTAATATCCAAGTTTTCACAAACTGCCTTTCCATTTACCGTTATCATTGCCTCAGTTTGATAGTCAGAAGCAATTGCATTTCTGGGGTGGGGGGATGTTAAGTGAAGTACAGAAAACAAGTCCCTTAAGGAAATCAAAATAACAGTAATAAAATATTATTAGAGAGAGCCCTAAGTACTTCTATGGAAAACACCTAAATTGGTGTGGAAGAGAGGATACAAAAATGGGGTCAGAGGGAATTTGGGTGGAGCATCTAATTTGTTTGCTACCGGCTTTATTCATATGGTTCTCCTAAAGTAAACACTTTTAATTAAAGCATGAGCATTTATCTAAATATAAGTTTAGATATTTAGGAATGATAGAGGGGGAAACGGGGCTTAAGAAATTTTAACTGTGTTCATGAAATGAAAATAATTTAATCACTATAAATGTTATTAGTAAGTGATGTTGACACTTAGTAAATAGTATTTCAAATCTGTAGACTATAAAAGAACATTTTGAGTTTTATTTCTTTGTTTTACTTTTTTCACAAATTTATTCAGCAAACATTTGTTTTAAAAATCCATTTTTCATATACATAAATATACGTTTATATTTTGGTCAAACAATATTGCCATCATGTGATATTGCTTACATTGCTATACATGTTCTTCTTGCTAATATGTGTTTTTTTCTTGTGAGGTGTTTTTTTTTTTAAAAAAAATCCTCACCCAAGGATATGTTATTGACTTTTTTTTTTTTTTTTTTTTTTTTTTTTAGAGAGGATGGGAAAGAGAGAGAAACATCTATGTGAGAGAGAAACATTGGTTGCCTCCTTGGATGCTCCCCAACTGGGGATTGAACTTGGAACCTAGATATGTGCCCTGATGGGTAATTGAACCCACAACTTTTGTGGCTTATGGGACGATGCTCCAACCACCTGAGCCACCTGGCCAGGGCTGGAGTTTGTTTGTTTGCTTGCCTCTGTAATTAAACTAGAAGCAATTTGAGGACAAGGTTACTATTCCCATATGGTCTAAAAATATCTAAACTATATTACATATATGACCACATTTTCTGATTTTAAGAATGTGAATATCCTTATATTAAACATGGCAAAAGTAAAAAAAAAAAAAAAAAAAAAAAAAAGCATTAGTGAGCAATTATATTAGCTGGTATCTGTTGAGTACAAACTGTGTGCTTGGGGTTATTCAGTGATAAACATACTACTGCAAAACTTCAGAGTGACCTATGTTTCTGTCTTACTCTGAAATAGAATCGCACTGAGATAAGATTATAACTCAGTCCAGTTACTTTTCTATACACAGGTCTTTGAATATTTGAGATATCCTCACTCATTCATTCCTTCAACAGACTGAGATGTGTACTTTTTATACCTATTTAGTATCAAGTTCGAATAGTTTACTTAATTGATTCTTTTAGTCTTTTAGTAAATCATTTAATCTGCTCTTGCTGTCTCTGGTTTGACTTTTGTAAAAATAAAATGCTCCTTCATTTTTGCTTAATTAATAGGGTTATGGATCGGTTGGATTTTGACTTGGTATTGAAACCTTATTGTCATGATTCTCATTTGCTTAAGTCTCTGACCTTTTTTTTTTTTTTTTTTTAATAATATATTTTATTGATTTTTTTTTTTTACAGAGAGGAAGGGAGAGAGATAGATAGAAACATCGATGAGAGAGAGTCATCGATCAGCTGCCTCTTGCACAACTCCTATTGGGGATGTGCCCGCAACCAATGTACATGCCCTTGACCAGAATCGAACCTGGGACCACTCAGTCCACAGGCTGATGCTCTATCCACTGAGCCAAACCGGTTTCAGCAGTCTCTGACCTTTTGAGGCTTTAACACTTTGTAGCATAACTTTCAAGCAAATCCATGAATTCAGCACTTGGAATGTAAATTTTTAATGACAACTATTTAAAATTAAGATTTGTACTTTACACGCCTATATATATTGAACTAAATTATTGACTGTAGGAACAACAAAGCTATGACAGATCCCTCAAGAAAGTATTTAACCAGCAGTAGAGAGAAGCAGCTGAGTTTGAAACAGTCAGAAGAGAATAGAACATCAGGTAAGTACTGGTCTTTATATAAGATAGTCATTTATTATATAACTAGAGGTGTAGATTCATTTCCTGGAGCTGGTGGGTGGAGGGGGGTTCCCTCAGCCCGTCCTGCCCCTTCTCACAGTCCAGGAGCCCTCAGGGGTGGGAGGTGACCCGGCAATCAGGGAAAGGCAATGTCCCAATCACCCTTCTGCTGCTGTGCAAGCCTTGGTTGGCCCTTGTTCCCTAAGCTTTGGGCAGCCCTGGGTGTCTGGACAGCTGCCATCCGAGGCTTGCCTACACCTCGGGCCAGCCCTGGGTGGCTGAGAGGACTTGGGCACTCCAGAGGCAGGTGCACAGAGCAGCCAGACCCACTTGGGGATGGGCCCAGCTGTGCCACGGGCAGGACTGAGCACTGCCATCAAAGTTGGATAAATGTTATTAGTTGTAGCTGTGGGTGCCACCCTCTTTGAGGGTGTGGTAGTCAATTAGCATGTTCCCTCCTTATTGGCTGTGGGCGCTGCCATCTTTGTGAGGGTGTAACAGTCAATTAGCATATTCCCTCTTTATTAGATAGGATTATTAGATAAGATATACTGTATAGACTAGAAATAAAACCCTAAATGGGACATAACTCTTTGTTATTCAGGAATACTCCATAATTCAGTTCTAGTTACTGGGCTCCAATTTATATCCAGTACTCTGCTAAAATACTTTTAAAGTATTAGAAATATAAGGGACCTTTTATTCTATTTACAAAGAGTCTAGACTTTGCCTACATCCCTATTTAACTGCCTAGAATTAAACTCTCATTATCAAGATACCTGGACCATACAATGAATTCAAGGAGTTAAAGTGATTGAAATTAAAATTCATCAGTGTTGCCATTTACTATAAGTTCTTGAAGTTATTGCCTAAAGCAGTTGCTTAATTTTACCTTGTACCCTGTTTTTATAAAATCTAACTTAGATTGTCTATTAATTTTTGTTATTATTTTCTACACTTAATCTCTATGATCCTCTGAACTACATAGATTTGAATATTATGTCAACTTGAAATTAAATTGAAACAAACTAAAATATGGCATGATTTTGATAAATTTAGAGTTTAAAGGAATTAATTTGATCAAGACTAGAAATTATCTCATTTTAGCCTTTCAGAGTTGTGACTTTGGACTTCTACAGAAAGAAAAATCACAAATGTACTTCTTACCTCTGAAATAACAACACATTATATAAACTCCATTCACTAGTTTTAAGCTTTATGATCAACCTATAGTTAGAAAATACTTGAAGGTGTAATAGCTTTAACAGTGTTGGAGGTAAGATACATCTTACAAAAGTTGATGTGGAAGAGGTCTCTGTAATTGGTTAAGTGATAAGAAGGTTCATGGAACAAAATGTAGAAGTTTTAAGTGTGTTAATTTTCAAAGTTAATCAGTAGAACTAAAATAGCACAACTAATACTTGGTTGGAAGGAAGTACATAAGAGTAGGGGTAAATGAAAATTTCTAATTTTTCCTAATAGGGAGTCAATTGATACTGTTCAAAATGAATAAGTCAAGAAGGTGTTGGAGCTTTAGAGCAGGAGAGTGTTCTTAGCTATTATAACCTTTTACACTGTGTCTGATCTCTTAACATTTATCCAATTTTGATAAAAAGAAAGGGGGGAAAGAGTTAAATATAAATAGGCCCAATGCATAATTTTATTACTAATTGGACTTCAGTGATTGATTTAGGAATTAAATTGTTCCTGTGTTTCTTCATTCCGTAGGACTTTCACCTTTGCAGTCATCGGCCTTTTATGGTAGCAGATCTGGATCCAAAGATTACTCTTCTGGCAATACTAATCTAGACAGGTATGCGTTGGTTATATGCACTGTAAAGAACTTGAAGAGCTCTCTTCTTCAAAATATTTTTTAAAAGTATATTTTTATTGATTTCAGAGAGGAAGGGGGAGGATGAGAGATAGAATCAGCAATGATGAGAGAGAAAAATCATTGTTTGGTTGCCACCTGCATGCTCTCTACTGGGGATCGATCTTGCAACCCGGGCATGTGCTCTTGACCAGAATTGAGCCCTGGACTCTCCAGTCCAGCGGTCTCCGACCCCTTACATATCACAGACCACCGAAGGTTTGCGAAACACCGATTGGCAACCATTGCTCCAGTCCTTAGACTAATGCTCTATCCACTAGGCCAAACCAGCTAGGGCTCTTCAGATATTGAATGATGGGATAACCTATGCATCAATACCCCTTATCCCCGTCTCTTTCACATCAACTTGTAAGATGTACCTTAATTTCAACATTAAAGTTTATTACACCATTAAGTATACTCTAAGTGAAAACACTAATTTAAAATAACAAAGTTGATGAAAATCGTAGACTCTTGACATTTTAGTTAGAAAATACTCAACAGATGTTTTAGTTAAAGCTCTTCTTTTTTACATTTTTTAGTAAATGAATAAACTGAGTTCTAGGGAAATTGTACTGAGACCACAGGTTGTGACTTGTAATATGATCAGATCCTGGACCAGTGAATTCTCCATCATCCTAAATTATGAAAACATTACGATCTCAACAGACTGCCTTTGTTGCCTGTGTATTTTTTAAGGTACCTACCAAAAGTTAAGGCATTTTCTTTCTCAAAAACAAGTTTCACATTATTGGAAAAGTCTAGTCAAAAGTTTAATTGTGGTCTATAGCTATAGATTACATTTTTTGAAACTTATTGGATATAAGTATATAAGACAATTGCTAAGTGCTTGTCAGGAAGGTGTGATTACAGAATGTAGCACAGAGGAGTAATGGTAAATTCAGAATTGAAGGTTAGTTAAAGAGCTTCACAGATACAAAAAAGCTAAAGGAGTTCACCACCACCAAACCAGTAATATGTGAAATGCTGATGAAAGGTATTCTTTAAGAAGAGGAAGAAGAAAAAAGGTAAAGTTAAAAATTATGAACAACAAATACATAACTATCAGCAAGTGAATCTAAAAATCAAGTGAATAAAAAATCTGATGGCTGTAACTGGGTTTGTATAGAGCGTTGGCCTGCGGACTGAAGGGTCCCGGGTTCGATTCCGGTCAAGGGCATGTACCTTGGCTGTGGGCACGTCCCCAGTGAGGGATGTGCAGGAGGCAGCTGATTGATGTTCCGATGTTTCTCTCTCATTGATGTTTCTAATTCTCTATGTCTCTCACTTCCTCTCTGTAAAAAAGATCAATAAAATATATCTTAAAAAAAAAAAAAAAACTCCTCTCCCTACACACATGCATCTTCCCTGCAATTGACACAGTAGAACACATTTTATTTTTTTACACCTTTATGTAAAGTGTTCTATTTTATGTTTGTTTTGTTTTTTAATCGTCACCCAGTGATATTTTTCCTTTGCTTTTTAGAGAGAGAGTGGAAGAGAGAGGGAAAGACAATCAGTTTTTCCTTATAAAAAAAAGCAAATCATATTCCTATTTCATAACATACAAGTAAATAAACATCCAAGCAAATTAAAGACCTAAATAGGGAGGAAAACAGGTGTTAAAACTTTTAATGAAAATATTGGAAAACATTTCTATGACCTTATGCTACAGAATGAGTCTTAAACAAGACACATAATTTGAAACTATAAAAGAAAAATGATAAATTTGACTATACAAAAACCTGAAATTTTCAATATTTAATAGACAAAGGACTAGACGAATATAGAATGTGTAAAAAACTACAAATCTTTAAGAACCCAATAAAAACCCAAGGGTGCACGAAAAGAACTTTAGAGAGGAGTAAACAATTATAAAAATATATTCAACTTCAGTAATAATCAGGAAAATAAAATAATGAGAGATCCTGTGTCACTCATTTAATCGGTAATAATGTAATAGAGACCATGTAAGAAATGGAAATCACTACTGTTAGACTATAAGTTAGTACAGTTGTTTTTTTTTTTAAGTCACACTAGGAAAATTAAAAAATACTAATATTTTCACTTCTCAGCATATAAACTGGAAGAATCTCAGGAGATTGAGTAAGAATACTGATTGTGTCATTTTTTGTAATAGTGGAGAAAATTAACTGTCCAAATGTTTTTAGACTAGGCAAACTAATGTATGATATCCATTAAATGGTAAACGTGAGTAAAAATGTAAAACTATATTTATACTGTTTGTTAAGCCATTGACTTGGATTATTTTGATTGTAGGTTAAGTATTATATGCTTCTTCAGCTCTCTATCAGCCTTGGAATCTGTGGATTTTTTTCCTTAAGTGATCATTGTTACTGTTATTTCTCCAAATTTTGATTTTTTTCCTCTCAGATAGGACTTTTCTGAATTTACTTGGGCAGGGAGGGGATATTTTAAAAACTGTTTTACTTCTCTATTTTTTATTCTTCTTATAGGACTAACATTTCAAGCCAAACTCCCTCTGCCAAAAGAAGTTTGGGATTTCTTCCGCAGCCAGCTCCTCTTTCTGTTAAAAAATTGAGGTGTAATCAGGATTATACTGGCTGGAACAAACCAAGAGTGCCCCTTTCCTCTCACCAACAGCAACTGCAGGGGTAGGTAAATTCTTTCATTTTGCTTTCTTTTTATAAAGTGATTCAATTGAAGTATGTTTTTGTTCTTAGGAAATGCATATTGAAGTATTTAGAGCTAAAAGGGTATGATTTCTGCAACTTACAAATGGTTCAGGAAAATAAAACACACAGAGGTATGAAATGATAGAGCATATAATGCAAAAGATTAACAATTGGTGAATCTAGATAAAAAATATTCTTGTTCAACTTTCCTAAAAGTTTGAGAATATTTCTAAGTAAAAACATTTTTTAATTAGGTACCTTGGAAAAGGATTTGGTAGTAATCATTAAAGCTAAACACAACTTACAAAAAACAAACAAATAAAAAAGAATAATAAAAAAAAAAGCTAAACACAACTTATATAGAGTGGGACAAAAATAGGTTTACAGTTCGTATGGAAAATAATACAATGGTTAATAATACAATGATAAACTTTTGTTTACTCCCAACTGTAAATTTACTGTTTTCCAACTTTTGTATTCAATGACCCAGTGGTCCTACTAAGAACAAATAGCAATTTGGGTAAGTCCCTAGCCCCTGTCAGCTTTCATTTGAAAATGTTTAAGTTGTTAATGTTACTAGAGGCCTTGTGCATAAAATTCATGCACGGGTAGGGTTCCTAGACCTGGCTGGTGATCGGGGATGACTGGTGGGGTGTTCAGGGAATTACCGCTGTTACCCACCTTGGCTGGTGGCCTGGCATATTAAACTTATTATGTAGGGTAATGTAGTGGTTCTCATAGTGTGGCCCCAGACCAGCAGCATTACAACATCAATAGATCCTACTAGAAATGCATATTTTTGCACCTTCTTTTTCCAGAATCAAACTCTGGAGATGGGGTTAACCTTTAGGTGATTCTGATGCCTGCTGTTTTGGAGAACCCAAGCTCTAATGAACATACTTTAGGAACTACCATTGTCTTAAAAAGTATTATTTCTTTCCTTTTCAGCTTCTCCAACTTGGGAAATACTTGCTATATGAATGCTATTTTACAGTCCCTATTTTCACTCCAGTCATTTGCAAATGATCTGCTTAAGCAAGGTATCCCATGGAAGAAAATTCCACATAATGCCCTTATCAGGTAACTGTTACATACTTACTGAATAAACTCTTACCTTGTTGATTATAGAATAATGAAGTTTCAGACACTTAAATTCTATGTTATGTACCGTGTTAATAGTCTTTAAAATATCATACCATTCAGTGTTTTGTAAAACATGCTTACCTGGTCTCTTTTGTTTTACCAGACGCTTTGCACACTTGCTTGTAAAAAAAGATAGCTGTAATTCAGAGACCAAAAAGGATTTACTCAAGAAGGTTAAAAATGCCATTTCTGCTACAGCAGAGAGATTCTCTGGTTATATGCAGAATGTGAGTACCAGTTGTTTTTAGCCACTTTAGAGGTAGTGGAAATTGAAATGATCTTGGTGTGTTATCTGATTTTTACTTTAAAGTGAGATTTGTATATGTATGTTGTGTTCATCACAGGTTGGAGAACCTGAGAACTTCTGGTAAGGTTCAGTGTGACTCTTCTGTGATTTATTATATTTTAACTAAATGCCCGGTGTATGAAAATTTCTGCACGGGGGGGGGGGGGGGGGGGGGTCCCTCAGCCTGGCCTTCCTCTTACAATCCATGAACCCTCAAGGTTGGGAGGCAACCCATTGATCAGGGGAAGGTGACACCCACATCACACCCATGCTGCTGCCACTGCCTACAGCGCAAGCTTCGGCCCGGCCCTGGTTACCTAAGCCTCGGGCTGCCCTGGGCAGAGCTGGGCAGCCGCCCTCCGAGGCTTGCCTACGCCTCGGGCTGGCTCTTGGCTGCTGGAGGGCTGAGGGTGGGTTTGGCCACACTGTGCGCCTGCACCCCCTGCCTAGGCTGAAAGAACGGGCACTCTGTCGGGGCTGAGGGAACTGGGTGCCACCATCTCGTGGCTATGGGCATCTCCATCTTTATGATGGCTTGACAGTCAATTTGCATATTCCCTCTTTATTAGATAGGATAATACAGATGTGGTATGTCAGTGAAGGAACTTGGGGTATTTTACTTAACAAAAAAAGGGCTTTTTTTTTCTTAATTACTTTTTTTTTTTTAATGAAGTAAGAAGTGATTCCTTTATTCATGCTAATCTCACTGATAGTAAAGGATATAAAATTTGTCATTTATTCTTATTCACAAAATATGTAGAGTAAATCTCTATTACTTTTTAATATAATGTTATTGACTTCCAAGTGCTTAGTTTTATAAATCATAATGTTGATAAGCTATCATTGTGACAAAAAAAATGTTTGATCTGATTAAAGACATTATGCCTTCTTAGGATGCTCATGAATTTCTTAGTCAGTGCTTAGACCAGCTAAAAGAGGATATGGAAAAATTAAATAAAACTTGGAAGACTGAACCTGTTCCTGGAGAAGAAAATTCACCAGATATTTCAGCCACTAGAATATACACTTGCCCTGTTATTACTAATTTGGAGTTTGAGGTTCAACACTCCATTATCTGTAAAGCGTAAGTAGTCTCCAAGAAACCTGTTTTTCCTTTTAATTATTTTTTTTAAATACATTTTTATTGATTTCAGAGAATAAGGGAGAGAGATAGAAACATCAGTTATGAAAGAGAATCATTGGTCAGCTGCATCCTGCACACTACCTACTAGGGATCGAGCCTGCAGTCTGGGCATGTGCCCTGACCAGAATCGAACCTGGGCCAGTGCTCTATCCATTGAGCCAAGCTGACTAGGGCTTCTTTTAATTTTTAATTTCAAGTGATTGAAACTCTTCTGAAGGTTTTAATTCTTACCACATTTTCCTTCCTATGTCATGGGCAAACAGAAATACAAACATCTTTTTTTAGTGTTACTGTTTTCTGTAAAAATGCTTGGGGTGAGAACTAAACAGTACTTAGATGTTTTGCCACATGCTTTAGTGTTAGCAGTTCATTTTGATCTACTGTGTGTGTGTTGTTGCTGTTTTTTATTATTTATGTTTATATTTTTATTGATTTCAGAGAGAAAGGGAGAGTGAGAGATAGAAACATTAATGATTAGAGAAAATCATTGATTGGCTGCCTCCTTCACGTCCCCTACTGGGGATTGAGCCCACAACCTGGGCATATGCCCATGACAAGAATTGAACCTGGGACCCTTCACTCCGCAAGCCAACACTGTATCCATTAAGCCAACAGGCTAGGGCCGCATGGAATATCAAGTTATCTGGGAATACTTGTTCTTTTTATCCTGAAAAGACTTGCTATTGCTTATTTTGTTAAACCAACTTGATTTTATTAAAAATTGGGTTTTATAAAATAGATCGAAATTTGAATTATTTTTTAACTTCTGCAATGCTTTTTAACCATATTTACATTAGTTACTCAAATTCACTTTCTAAATTTAATTAATTTCCATACTCATTATATCACATCAAAAGCTTCTGTTTTGATTAATTTTCCAGTTATTGGTAGTACATATCTGAATATAACTTTTTAATTGAATTTAGAGATAGAGGGAGAGAAAGAGAGCTAGAAACATGGATGAGAGAGAAACATCAACGTAGATCGGCTACCTCCTGCGTGCCCCTTGTTGGATTTCGAGCTCACAGTCCTGGGCATGTGCCCTGACCAGGAATCAAATTAGTAACCTCTTGGTGCATGGGTCAATGTTCAACCACTGACCAACACCTGTCGGGAATCTGTGATTTAATAAGCGTTAAAGTAACATGTCTTAAATGTGTATATTTCTTATGCTTAATCATAGCCTTTTCAAACACTTGGGGAGCAGTGTCCTGAAGTACATCTGTATTTATTTTGTATTACAGTTAGTTTTCTGAATGCTTAGATTTGTCTTCTTTTACAGTTGTGGAGAGATTATTCCCAAAAGAGAACAGTTTAATGACCTGTCCATCGACCTTCCTCGAAGGAAAAAGCCACTCCCTCTGCGTTCAGTTCAAGATTCTCTGGATCTTTTCTTTAGGGTAAGTAATATATTTTGGTATGTTTACATAACTAAGTTTTATATATCATAGATAATTATATTTGAAGTTTGTTTCTTTAAGGCAGAATTTGGACAAAATTACTTGAGGGAAAACTAATGAGAAATATTTATAAATAAACATTTTTTTAAAGCTTGATAAACCTAATTGTTAACTCATTGAAGAAGATTGATTGCTTATGTAGATTATACATTTGACTCAACAGGAAGTGTTTTAAACAACCTTAGAAGCAGTTATTTGTAAACAAATATTAATTTGAAGCCTAGGAGGTGACACATGCTAAAATTTGGTAATGTGGGTTAAAATTGGAGACACTATATAAGTGAGCGTACTGAGATCTGAGGAATGAAAAATGTTCTTTGCTTTTCTTAGGTTGTATGTACTCTATTAGAAACAACACAAACCATGCTTACCTAATGCTGTGAATAAATATTTATGTCTATGAAATACTGTTACAGATAATCTGGGGCATAATTGGACCTGTGGTGTAGGTCCTATTTTCCGAGGGAAATTTGCCAAGGTTACCCTTTGTCTTTAAAATAGTGTTTCTTGTTTTGTTGTAGCAAATGGGCAGAATTGTCTTCCTGAGGTTAAAAAACTTCTGTTCTTTAAATGATTTAACATTTAGCTCCACCCAATGATAAATACTCTGCTTTTCTTTTTGCTTTAATCATTCCTTGCTATTCCTGTTATTATCATAGAATTTGAAGCTTTTCCTGTGTATCTTTATCCCCATTTTTTAAGGATTTCTTGTTTCAGTTTTCTCTAGGTAATGCTATCCACCCCAAACTTTGGTCCTTTTAGAGCAGTTGTTCTTAGTGGGCTGTTACCAGAAGATTGAGTTCCATTTTAAGAAAGGGGTAGAGTTACACCTAACAGACCAGGAACTCCGCCTAACCTGAAGGTGATCTTATCTCTGCTATGGCCAAATGTTAGATGTACTCTTGGCAGTGCTGCTTGTGTTATGTATTCATGGGGAAAAAGGTTGAGAATCTGCTACTGAAGAATCTATCATAAATTGAGTTACTATCATAAATTGAGATGTCTCCTTTGTAAAAAAGGAAATTAGGAATTCTGAAATAGGGCATGATATTATAACTATATTTTGAGCTTTAGGTCTTAATTTAGTAAGGTTTGTGACTCTGGATACAAACTATTCAGAGCTGTCAATCCACTGAAGTAGTATGACTAGAGAAAATTAGTAGCATTTAATGGGATAACACTAATTCAACTTCATGCTTCTTTTTATAGGCAGAAGAAATCGAGTATTCCTGTGAGAAGTGTAGTGGGAAGTGTGCTCTTGTCAGGCACAAATTTAACAGGCTACCCAGGTAAAATTAATGGCTCTTGCATTTTTCTTTTTTAAAGTACTTACAAATGTTACTGAGTAAGTGAGGCTTACCAGAGCTGAGGAATGATGTGGGTAGATAGAAAGCTAGAACATGGAAGACAGGAGGAGGGTTGGAATGTTGAAGGAACTTCACAGTCTCAAGTGATGGCAGCAAGAGGACTTGGCTGGGGAAACTTGGGAATAATGATAGTGAATACTAGCAGTTTTTTAATTAAGTAATGTATAACATTTAATTATAATGTTTCCTGTGTTGTGCTATAGCCCATCCCTCAAACTTTCAGTAAAAATCTGCTACAGACACATATATCTGTGTGTGAAAGTAAAATAGGAAGAGTACTTTTCTGCAATTTGTATATTTCTTTATTCAAAGGCTCTTATAAGTTGGTACGTTTTCTGTAATAATAAGAATTGACTAAATGTGGAGTTTCTGGAACGTAGTCCCTAGAGCCTAGTTCTTTTGCTCCTTTCTAGAAAATGAAATTTTTTTTAAGAAATGACTTTCTCAATTGTAACAAAGAATTTGTTCTTTTCTATTTGTGAGTGTTTAGAAGCAGGAGGGTAGGAGGGGACAAATATTAAGGCAAAAGATTATTACCAGCTGTTATTAATGAAGGAAACCAGTGTACAATTAAAAATACTTGTTTGACTGGGAAGCTGAATATTCCCTTTCTAGCTGTCTAACCATATGGTCTTTCAATTAGTAGAAAAAAAATACTGAGGGGAATTTATTTTAATCTGTTCATTTCTAGTCCACCTCATCTTTGTAAGTCAATGATTTTTAACTGTATTATCTGTCTTTCATATTGCCTTTTATTTTGGTAGAGGCCTGGTGCATGAAAATTCATGTACTGGCTAAGGGTCCCTCAGTTCAGCCTTCCCCCTCTCACAGTCCAGGAGTCCTCAGGGGCCGGAGGCACCTAGCGACCAGGGGAAGGCGACTCCCCCATTACACCTCTGCTGCTGCCACTGTCAGCAGCGCAAGCCTCAGCCAGCCCTGGTTACCTGAGCCTCTGGCGGCTGGGCAACTGCCATCCAAGGCTTGCCTGCACCTTGGGCTGGCACTGGGGGGCTGAGGGGACTGGGCGACTCCAGAAGCAGGCACACAGAGCAGCTGGACCCACCTGGGGGTGGCCCCAGCAGGACTGAGGGGACTGGACGTCATCTTGTGGCTGTGGGTGCCACCATCTTTGAGGGCATGTCAGTCAATTAGCATATTACCTCCTTATTGGCTGTGGGCACTGCCATTTTGTGAAGGTGTGATGGTCAATTAGCATATTCCTTTTATTTGACAAGTTAGTCAAAATATTTGACATCTGATATTAGTTTTGTATTGCAGTTAGTCTTCTGAATGCTTACATTTTTAATTGTCAGCATATAATTCTCAGCAAATTAGACAGTTTGTTCACATCAGATGTATCCTTGTGTTTTCTCAACTTGTAAATGTGAAGGTTAGGAATGCATACTTGCATACTTTTAAAAGAAAAACACAGTTGATAACTTCAATTTGCAGGTTTTTCAGTTTGTGGCTTCTGTGATGTATATGGTAAGAAACGAAACTATTCTGCATAAATCAAATATTATTTTTGCAGTATTTGTGAGGCTTATTCCCCAAAAAATTCTGAAATTCACTTGTTAAAGTGTTCTTGTGCACTGTGAAATATATCTAGTCCATCAAGCAAAGATTATGATCTGTATTAGAGATGAAAGGTTGCCACAGGAGCAATTAAAAAAAGTGTTTTCACAGATCTAAAAGCCTTTTCAGACCCACAAACCAGATGTGCCGTGAAATTTGGTAGAACTTTTAAGTAGAGAAAATTTTTCTATTTGTCTTAGCTTTTTTCATAGAAAGTTCTAATGAAATAAGACTACTTCTTGTAAAAAATCATCTTGTTACCCTCGCTGGTTGCAAAATGGCTAGAACGTGAGCCTGAGGACTTGAGGGTCCTGGACTGGATTCTGGCCAAGGGCACAGACCTTGGCTGCAGGCTTGATCCCTGGGCCCTGTTCTCTCTTTCTCTCTCCCCCTCTCTCGCTCGCTCGCTCGCTCGCTCGCTCATCTTCCTTTCCACTCTAAAAATCAATGGAAAAAATATTCAGGTAAGGATGAGCAAGGAAAAAAAAATCAGTTGGCAAAAACCGATGTTTACCATTCAACATAAGAGCTGTTTAATGCTTTAATTAAAATTATCTGTGGTTATATAACACATTTTGCTTTAAACTATATAACATTGAAGTAATTTAAAAGTTTAACCCAGTTATCAATATTAGCATTCAGAAATGTAGTGTTCTTGTCTGAGGTGGGTTTTTGTGTGTGTGTGTATTTTGTCTTTCTAGGAACATTATAAGTATTTTACCTAAATCCACCCAATGCCACTGTTTTATTTGTATTCTTACTATTTAGCACAATGCCTAGCACATAGCAGATATTCAGTAAATGTTCTTTGGCCAAATCTTTAGTTTGATTAGATGTCTTCTTTAAATCAGAGCCATTTAACGCGGTTAGTTGCTGTGATCTCTTCATGCATAACAGAGCTACCTTTATTATGTACAAACTAGTGACGTCGTCATCTCCTGTTTTCAGGATCCTCATTCTTCATTTGAAGCGATATAGCTTCAATATTACTCTCTCACTTAACAACAAGATTGGGCAGCAAGTCATCATTCCAAGATACCTGACACTGTCGTCTCATTGCACTGAAAATACAAAACCACCCTTCACTCTCGGCTGGAGCGCGCATATGGCAATGTAAGTCCTTAAGAGAGAATTTCTTTGCCTTTGCTTTTAAAGTAGAAAGACTTAAAATAATAATAATGTAGAAAGGCTGTAATGATCAAAAGAACGACTAAGCTAGTTAACACAGCTCCCAAGTAAAATCAGACCAAGGAGGACATTTTAATTTTGTTTTATTTGGGGATTTTGTGTTAAATTACTGCCCGATTGAAGTAATTGTTATCAGTTGAAGTAATAAAATGCTTATTCAAAAATTTTCCAAGTACATTAGTTGCCTTTCATAAAAAGTTACTACCTTTTGCCAAAACCAGTTTGGCTCAGTGGATTTGGCCTGCAGACTGAAAGGTCCTGGGTTTGATTCCGGTCCAAGGCATGTACCTTGGTTGTGGGCACATCCCCACTAGGGGGTGTGCAAGAGGCAGCTGGTCGATGATTCTCTCTCATCAGTGTTTCTAACTCTCTGTCCCTCTCTCTTCCTCTCTGTAAAAAATCAATAAAATATATATTTTTAAAAAGTTACCTGTTTAGGTAATATTCTTAAGATTTTAGATCATTAGAAAACAGTGTGATACATGTTAGGAATATAAACATAATTTGCATGCTCATATGTATCACCTGAACACTAAAATACTGACTTCTGTGTTTCTTAGAAGTTCTATTTCATTAGTTTTAAGATAGGACTTGGGGATCAATATTTTACCAAAAGCCTTTCTGGCTCTTTGGGACATGCAAATTTGGGAAACAGTATATTGAATATGATGCTGGGGTCCCAAAAATAGATTTTGTCTTCATAAATGTGTTATTACCAGTGGGAGTAAAGAACTTCAGTGGCTCCTAGAAATTTTTACATGAGAAAAGAAGTAACCTTTAATTTGGCTTAGGACTTTTCTGAATACTGCTCTTTCTTCTGCATCTTGTCTTACTTTGGAACCATATAATGTAGTTCCTTTTTATGCTTGGACTCTAGCTTGAGAGAGTCATGAAGTTTAGAGTTGAAAAGGACTTTTAGAGATTTTGTCTAAACACTTAAATTTATAGAGGAGACCAAAAGAGATTAAGTAATTTTCTTAAAGTCATATGGTTAGTACACTGGAAAAGCCAGGGTAAAGTGCAATAATAGACATTTCAGAGAGTGAATGAACATTTGCTAATGTGAATTGATACTGTTTTGTAAAAATGTATTTCTCCTTGGTTTAATAATTGAAATGTAAACTACATCTTATAAGTATGTATTAAAGACCTTAATGGATATACTAATAGAACATGTTTCCAGAGATTGTTAGTGTTTCTGGATTTTGTCTTATGGCCTTTATTTGAAATAGATGTGGGTTTTGTGGGGTGGTTCTTTTTGTTGTTGTTGTTGTTCGTTTTTTTTTTTACTTGATGCAACTAACAGAGTTGCTACTCTTTTTGGCTTTCAGTAGTACTATGTCAACTTACCAATGTAGGCTCTTGTGAATGATTCCGGGCCTGAAATCAAGCTATCTGACTCTATTTAATAGATTTAAGACTTGGGACAAATTCCTTGGCTTAGCTGTATGGAAAATAATCAGGTGATTGTGAACATTAAATGCTGTGAAACACATGCATTCTTATTCCAGTGCCTGACATCTAATAAGTCCTCAAAAAATGAGAGCTATTACTATTTTATTGTTGAAAAGTAAAGAACTGAGACAAGATAATTTTTCCAAGTTGTTCTTTTCCTATGTGTTACATTTGACTTTGTTTCTAATGCTATTTATTTAGGTCATTAGATCAAGGAGAGGCCTGAAAAAAAAATATTTTAATTAAAAAAAAAGGAGAGGCCAGAGATAGTATTATTTATTTACACACACACACACTCACACACACACACACACACACACACACACACCCTATACAATAAAAGGTAAATATGCAAATCAACCAAGTGGCTGAATGACCGTAGCTATGACCAGATACTCAATGCAGGAGCTGCCCCCTGGTGGTCAGAGCACTACCACAGGGGGAGTGTCACTCAGCCAGAAGCCAGGCTTGCAAGCGGGCTCATTGCTGGCAAGTGCAGTGGCTGCGGCAGGAACCTCTGCTGCCTCCATTGCAGTGCTAAGGACCCCTCAGGGTGTCCATCCACCTTCCCCCAGGTGCATGCATGTCATGCATCGGGCCTCTAATATATACATATCCCCAGAGGAAGGGAAATGGGGAGAGAGAGAGAAAAACATTAATAAGGAAAATCATTGGTCAGCTGTCTCCTGCATACCCCCTACTGGGAATTGAGTCTAAAACCTGGACATGTACCCTGACTAGGAATCGAACCATGACCTCCTGATTCTTAGGTTGATGTTCAACCCCTGAGCCATACCAGCTGGGCCAGAGGCAGTATTTTGTTTTCTCCTTTGGCTTCTATTGATAGTAAAGGTAGTATAATTATTTGCTTTTCAAGAGGATAGATAAGGGTCTATAGTTCAGACTAACTCATTTTGTAAATTAAATATATTTTAATAATATAATTGTATACATTATATATTTTCTAATTTTCTGATAGTTCTAGACCATTGAAAGCCTCTCAAATGGTGAATTCCTGCATCACCAGTCCTTCTACACCTTCAAAGTGAGTTATATTTCTTATGTACCCAAAATTTGTATTTTTAAGGATTTGGCTTACCCTAATACCAAAATTATTTCCTCCCTTTTCTTTATTGTTTCTCTTTTTGCATGATAACTGCTCTGTATTACTGTACTTTGGAATTTCCTTGATTCTGCTTTAAACTATAATCTGGGTATAACAAGTTTTTAACAATGAAGCAACTTCAGATGATCTTCTCAAAATTTTGTTCTAAAACATTTAAAATCATCTGTTATTACGTAATATTTTCATCCTGTTTCTCTAGAAATTGGTTGATGATGAGGAATTTTAAGGATTGAAGGGCTGGAATAACCCATGTTGGTGTGAAGCACCATCCCTCAAGGATAACATGGGAGATAAAAATATCTTTTTACTTTTTGCTAGCCAATATAGGACTTCTTGTCCTAGACACTGAACTGAAGCTATTCTGAAAGGAGACAGGAAACACACGTGGAATGTACCTACTTTACAAATATTTTACTCTTTTTTTTTGTTTGTTTGTTTAAGTCCAAAAGTTTGTCCAAGAGACGCAAATACTTTTTTAAATATACCTCCTCTGTGATTAAACTAGAGCCACAGTTCCTGATTTGACAATTCTAAATATCTAAATGCTTGTTATTGGTCTTTAAATTAGTTTTTCTAAAAATTTGATGTCCCAAAATACTTCTAGAAAAGAGACATTTTTGTTGTTTAAGGGCTTTGGGGGGGGCTTATATAACCATAAAGTGACATTTGGGAATTGCTATTTTCTTTTCCTCCTGTTAATTATTTTTCAGTGCAATTAAAACCAGATGACTAACATGACTAGAAATGGTACCGATATGAATACTCTTGCCCGTTCTCAAGATACAAATGAGCAATACCACTTGGCTGCTTAGAAAGTGAGCAAGTGATGCATTTACAGGATGAATATTTTTCATTACTACAGGCAAGCTGCCTTCTGTGAATATAGTAACTATAACGGAATGCACTCTTTATGTACCAGATCACTGTAGTGACAAGAAAAAGATGGTTTCATTGAGCATCATTATACTTGGCATGGTCATCTGTTCTCCAGGGTCTATTGGTATGAGAATGTGAGAGTTGCTCAATAAAGGATGATTAGGCCCTAGAAGACCTATCATGCCGATCAAACTTAAAAGAGGCTGAGTTATGAAGCAGAATACTTTTCCACAGTGTCCTTTGTCATCACATTTGACCCTGGTATATTGGTAGCCAGGTGTCAGCCTCATTCAACAAAGTATTCATGTGGATAACCAAATTTAACATGTTCAGTTTTGCTTGGTGAGCATTAAATCAGAAATGAGAAGTAAAGATAGTTAATTGGCTATTTCTAAGTTATTTTAAAAAACCCTTTTGAAAACATAATGGGAGACTATTCAAGTGTACCGGCTGGAGTGCAGGGATATCCCGGCTGCTCTCAGCCACAGACTATGTTTGGGATTATCACTGACCACTTGCCTCTTTTCTTTGATCTACATTGCTATGCGGTTCTCCTGATTTCCACTGTGGCCTCTTATTTCTTGGTACCATCATTCTATATGTTTATGTACAGTTTTCACTTTAGATTAATTGCCTTTTTTCCAATTTCCATTTTACATATTTTTATTATTGCATATGAATTTATGTTAACCTTCATCATAGACAGTTTGTGCTCTTCGACCTTTACCACTTTTTCCTTTAATTTATTTTCAGCTCACTTGGAAGCCAACACAGTAACACCTTACTTATCTGGTATCATTGAAGAATATTTGATATTCCTCATAACTGAATTTTTTTTATAAATAAAGCTTACCTTTTTAAGCATTAATCTTTAAAAAAAATTTAACCATTTTAGGTGGTTATATAGTTTGTAACCTTACAGAAGTCCTTATATTCTTAAGTAAAATATACTGAAGATAATTTAAAATATTGTAATGACTTAGAATCAACATGAGTATCAGTTATTGCACTGTGTTTTAATATAATAATGCCCTCAGACGGCATTATCCTAGAAGACAGTTTACCTTTACATTAAATGACTTATAGTTCTTTATTGCCCTGTTTGTGGTTATTCTCTCTCATTTCTTAGCTCTCATTTCTTGATGAACTTGCTACATTATGTTATACAACATTTCCTGGGCAAGAAGGGCCCAAAGAGTAAAGTACTTGGGCTTAGAAACTGCTGCCTTCCTTAGAAGCCTTTTTCTTAGTTTTGAATCCCTGTATTTTGGAAGGTAGAGGTTGCTACATGTCTGACCTACATATAAGTGGATAAGTGGAATGTTACTGTTAATTTTAAAGTACTTGGATCATAAATTAAAGTTTCAAAAATTAGTTCTCATACTCTATTGTCAAACACATTTATTCATTGCTATGTTTGCATGCATTCAGTACTGTACTTGCTTTATAAAGAAAATAAACTTCTTTGGGGCTGATCATTAAAAGAAAAAAGGCACGAAGTGATTGGTTTACTGACATAATATAAAAGCTGTCTATCAAAGCATGACTCTTTTGAAGCGGGGCAAAGGTAATAATGTTTAAGTATACTTTTTGATATATCTTTATTTCTGTTACATTTTTTTCCATAGAAGAAAAGCTTTTGTTTTATTTTGGTACTTGTGTTTCAAAAAAATAACTAGGACAGTGTTTATTTATCAGTCTTATGTAGGTTTTTTTTTTCCCCCTTGGATTACAGGAATTTCCCCTTCAAATTCAAGAGCTCATTGGCTTTGAGCCTTGATTCAGACAGTGAAGATGAACTAAAGCGCTCGGTGGCCCTTAGCCAGAGATTCTGTGAAATGTCCTGTGAACAACAGCAGGAAGATCTGGAAAAGGTAAGTAATTTCTTATCAGAATATCTGACAAAGATTTGTATAGCTCTTAGTAGCCAAACAAATGCCTTTTATAACCAGCATCAGCAAACTTAATACACAAGATAGATCATAAATTTAATGGGTCTGTTTAAATACCAGTTGTTGCGGTTTTTAATCATTTTCTTTATTTTTCAATTACAGTTGATGTGTGTATTATTACATTAGTTTTAGGTGTACACCTCAGTGATTAGACATTACATAGCTTACTACTAGTAAGTGATCGTCTCAATAAATCTCGCACCCACCTGATACCATACATAGTTATTAGAGTATTATTGACTGTATTCTCTTACCTGTTCTGCTTGTTTATTTAGATTTAATTGTTGATAGATATGTATTTATATCTAGAGATATATATTCATAGCCTGATCCTAGAGCCACTCAATGAGAGATACAGGGCATGCTGAGGCCAGATGTTGTATATTTGAGAGAGTTTAGGAAAATCTGAAGCATGAGCCAAGACATGCCATTCATATAGAAAAGCCACTGGAAACAGCTTGGGTGGGCTGCAAGTTTTGGGGGGAAGGTCTTAGGGAATAACCAGGGTAGGCAAATTGTGTGAGCCAGGTTGAGGGAGTCTCAGTTATGGTGCCTGCCTGCCTGCTCTGTGTGGGGAGGGCTCATCAAAGGAACAATGGACTCTGTCAGCATTTCTATCTAGGAGAAAGCTGCCCTTTCTTTCCCCCATCCCTCAAGCTCTCACCTTGATGCTAGGCAGTCGGTTCCTCCTGTATGTCTCTGATGTTTTTCAGGCTGCTCCCAAGTGGGAGTGAATCTGAGTAAGTCTACATATGGGCCCTTTAAGAGACTGCCTGGGACTCCAGCAGCCCTCCCTCTCCCTCAGCCTCAATCCCAGCTGATTTTTATAGCCTGAAGTTATGACAACTTCTCTTCCTGGCACTGAAACCACTGAGCTGGAGGGCCTGGTGTGGGGCTGGGACCCCTCACTCCTCAGGTGGCACCTCTGCAGCTGAGATATCCCTCCCGGTTTTTATCTGTAACGCGAGGGTGTGGGGCCAGCCCATTCCACATCTCAAGTTCTACCGGACTATGTGACTTGCTCTTTAATTCCCTGGCTGTAGCACTTCCATTCAGCCGGATCTCAGGTGGTCCTGAGGGATAGTTCTGTAGTTTAGTTGTCATTTGAGTGTGGCTGTGGGAGGATGCAGATACAGCGTTTATCTACACTGCCATCTTGACTGAAAGTCCCCAACACTAGTTTTAGAGTGTGCTTTCTGTAGCTACAAAATCAGTGTGTTTAAAGTTGGATTGAGACTTTTTTAATTGAGATGTAATTGACATATAATAGTGTATTAATTTTAGGTGTACAGTATAAGGATTTGATATTTGTATATGTTGTGAAATGATTACCACAATAAGTCTAGTTAGCTTTCATCACTATACATAATTACCCAAATAATTTTTTATTGATTTCACAGAAGAAGAAAGAGGGAGTGAGAGATAGAAACATCCATGATGAGAAGGAATCACTGATTGGCTGCCTCCTGCATGCCCCCTCCTCTAGGGAGAAAATCTGCAACCCAGGCATGTGCCCTTGACAGCAATCGAACTCGGGACCCTTCAGTCCTCAGGCTGACGCTCTATTTATGAAGCCAAACCAGCTAGGGCCCAAAAGAATTTTTTTCTTGTGATGAGAACTTTTAAAATTTATTCTCTTTACAACTCTTAATATGCAATACAGCCCGGCTGGTATGGCTCAGTGGTTGATCATCGAACAATAAACCAGGAGGTCTCGGGTTCAATTCTTGGTCAGGACACGTGCCCAGGTTGCAAGCTCAATCCCCAGTAGGGGGCATAAAGGAGGCAGCTGATCAATGATTCTGTCTCATCATTTATGTTACTATCTCTCCCTCTCCCTTCTTCTCTGAAATCCATAAAAATATTTTTTTAAATATGCAATATAAGATTATTAACTATAATCACCATGCTGTACATTACATCCTAGGACATATTTATTTTATAACTGGAAGTTTGTACCTTTCAACCCCCTTCACCCATTTTATATATCACACACACATGCACACCACCCTCATCTAGCAATCACCAATCTTTTCTATATCTATGAGCTTGGATTTTTTTGTTTGTTTGTTTGTTTGTCTTAGATTCCACATATACTAGTAAGTGAGACCTTGTGGTATTTGTCTTTTTCTGACTTTTTTCACTTAGCATAATGCCATCCATGTTGTTGAAAATGTCAAGATTTTCTTCTTTTTATGGCTAAATAAGATGTGTGTATACTACATCTTCTTTACTCATTTATCCATCAGTAGACACTTAGGTTGTTTATAAGACTGAGATTTAAGAAATGAAAGTTGTAGATAAATTGCTTTCTCCTGTAAACCTTCAAAGCTATTTTATTTTTATGTTATTTTTAATGTTTTATTTATTGAGTTTTAGAGAGAGAGGAAGGGAGAGAAAAAACATCCATTTGTTGTTCCACTTATTTATGCATTCATTGGTTGATTCCTGTTGTGCTCTAACCAGAGATTGAACCCACAACCCTGGCATATTGGGACAATGCTCTAACTGAGCGACCCAGACAGGGCTTCCTTCAAAGCTTTTACATATTGGTCCTCAAACAATTACTTGCTTTATTTTGGTACTAATTGTTAATACGATGGAACCAGAGTAAATGTTTTACATCAACAGACTAACCACATAAACTAAAAGTTTAAATAATGTGTGTGAAAGCATAACTATATTATTTCCTATCTTGACACATAATGATAGTTAATATTTTGAAGATACAAGCTTTTCTAGGAGTTTGCATTATCTTGTGCAACTGTTTGATTTTATATGTATGTATGTGTTTATTTTTTATAAATATAAGTTTTTTATTTTATTCATTTGTTCAAAAAGAATAAGACCTGAACCCAGAGCATCAAAGAAAGGAAACTTTTTAGAAATAAAAATAAACTTCTCACTTTAAACTCTTAAGATTGCTAAATTTGTAGTCATTCAGGTTTCCTCTAAAAGTAACTCTCTACTTCAGGATTCAAAATCATGCAAAATAGAGCCTGATAAGTCTGAATTGGAAAACTCAGGATTTGATGGAATGAGTGAAGAAGAGCTTTTAGCAGCTGTTTTAGAGATAAGTAAGAGAGAAGCTTCACCATCCCTGAGTCATGAAGATGATGATAAACCAACCAGCAGCCCAGATACTGGATTTGCAGAGGATGATATTCAAGAAATGCCTGAAAATCCAGACCCTATGGAAACTGAGAAACCCAAAACAGTCACAGAACCAGGTAAATTTAATGAAGATAGCTGTTAAACAAGGCATAACAGTGTTCAAAATCATCATAGCAACAAATGGCTTCTAAATAAAGGGAAGTATGAGATGAACCTGTTGAATGTATAAAAGTCATATGGCCCACAGGCCAGAATTTCCCCACCCCTGGTCTACAAGAACAGAAAGAAATTGATGGTTAATTTTTTATCTCCTTGAACAAATATTCTAAATATATACGTTGTCATATACTTGTGCAATATATGAGATGTTTATTACATACTGTGTGGAACTCTTTTTTTTTTTAATGTGATTTTATTGATTTTTTTAGAGAGAGAAGGGATAGGAGGGGAGACAGAGAAACATCCATCAGCTGTGCCTCCTGCATGCTCCCTACCAGGGATTGAGCTCGCAATCTAAACATGTGCCATGACTGGGAATCCTACTGGCGACTTCTAGATGCAGAGGATAATGCTCAGCCAACTGAGCCACACCACCAGTACTATGTAACTCTTGATTCAGAATATGTATAAGGCTTATTTGATTATTAATTCTAAAACACTCATTTAACACACATTTAATAAACGGGGAAAGCTCGTTATTAGCTATTTTTGGTTGCCACAGCTAGAGAGAGGGGTGGTACTGACATCTAGTAAGCAGAGGCCAGGGATGTTGCTAAACATTCTTTAATGTACGGAACAGCTGCCACCCAGCAAAAACAACAATGTACCACCCAAAATATCAACAGTTCTGAGATAGAGAAGCCCTAGTCTACATGTAGTAGTAAGATGACATTGCATATCCCAAGCAAGCTATGTGTGAGGTTGGGGTAAATTACTCTCTGAACAGTAGATGTCACTCTAGTCGAGAGATTCCAGTTTCTTAGGATTTCCCAGTTACGTTTTGTTCTGCTTCCTCAGATCCAGCCAGTTTTACTGAGATAACTAAAGACTGTGATGAGAATAAAGAAAACAAAACCCCAGAAGGACCTCAAGGAGAGGTTGATTGGCTTCAGCAGTATGATGTGGACCGTGAAAGGGAAGAGCAAGAGCTTCAGCAGGCCTTGGCTCAGAGCCTCCAGGAGCAAGTAAGATTTATATTGCTACTTTCTTCATCCTTATCTTTCCCAAGAAATAGAGGAGGAGGAGGAGGAGTAATAGTAGTAGTAGTAGTAGTAGTAGTAGTAGTAGTAGTAGTAGTAATCTACATGTGTAAAAGGCTGTGCAACTGTCCCAGCGGTAGCTCTGACATGCAGTGAGCACCAGGGTGCAGACACTCAGCATAGGAGCTGCCGACTGCAGTGATGTGGGTGACACACCTTGGAACCAGAGAGGAGGGAGCCCAATTCTGGGTGTTCCAAGAACTGCCCTCTTGCAATCCAAGACTCCTGGGGAGATGTCAGAAAGCCAGTTTCAGCCTGATCCCTGAAGGCCAGGCTGAGGGACCCCTCTTGCTGGAGGGACCCCCCACTCACTCCATAGAAGCCCTCCTATCTCCAGGTGCGGCCTGCTGGGGAAGGGAAGGACCTTAGGAGGTTGGATCCAGGATGAGTGGCCCGTCTCATCCAGTCCCGCACAACAAGCCACCTTCTAATTAATTTAAATGTGCACGAATCCGTGCACTGGGGCACTAATAATAATATAACAACAACCACCACCACCAACATGTTTTTTGTTTTTTTAATCTGTTTTATTGATTTTTTACAGAGAGGAAGAGAGAGAGACAGTTAGAAACATCAATGAGAGAGAAACATTGACCAGCTGCCAATGTACATGCCCTTGACTGGAATCGAACCTGGGACCTTTCAGTCCACAGACCGACGCTCTATCCACTGAGCCAAACTGGTTTCGGCCACCAGCATGTTTTAAGCATTTACTATGTATCAGGCATTGTTCCACATGATATGAATACAATGTCATGATCCACCAAAACAATAAAAACCTTGGGGCTTTGCATTGGTTTTGAAACAGACACTTCGGTAATTTTTCAGTTTTTGAAAATCAAATGCAACAAAATATATTGTTGGTTACCTTCTATTACAATAGTTCATTGCATGCTAAAGCAAGATGGGTTACTAGAGATTATCCCAATCCAACTTTATTTGCAAGCTGTGGAAACTTTATTTCCTATTGTTTGAACAGAAAATTCTTAGAAATATCTGAAATTCAGATTTTAGTCATAGACTAACATTTATCTGTTCTTTATATTATATATACTAGAGGCCTGATACATGAAATTCATGCAAGAGTAGGCCTTCCTTCCCCCTGCTGCCAGCACTAGCTTCCCTCTGGCACCCGGGACCTAGCCTTCCTTCACAGCCTAGCTTCGGCTGGAAGGTCATCTGGTGTAATTAGCATATTACACTTTTATTATAGATTCTGTTCTTTAATTTTTAGTTCTTTTTGTTCCCTATTTTTAAAAATTTTTTAAATATATTTTTATTGATTTCAGAGAGGGAGAGAGAGAGACAGAAACATCAACAATGATAGGGAATCATTGATTGGCTGCCTCCAGCATGTCCCTCACTAGGGATCTAGCCTGCAACCACAGAACATGCCCTTGACCGGAATCGAACCCAGGACCCTTCAGTCCGCAGGTCAACACTCTGTCCACTGGACCAAAACAAATAGGGCTAATTTTTAGTTCTTTATATTTATATTTGCCAAAGTTGGCTGATTTGCACTGTTGCAGACATCAAGGTATTTGACTTGTGTTGACAAGTCATCAAGATATCTGACATCTGAAGTGTTGTTTTCATGCTTTTCTAATTGTATGTAATCCAAGTTATGTAATTAATAAAAATTTAACAAGACTCCCTAGAATAAATGAACAGTTTTAGTGTTTACAAACAGATTAAGAAATCTAATTTTGCCTGGCTGGTGTGGCTCAGTGGTTGAGTGTCAATCCATGAACCAAGAGGTCACCGGTTCGATTCTGGTTGGGGCATGTGCCCAGGTTGTGGGCTCGATCTTCAATACAGGGCATGCAGGAGGCAGTCAATATATGTTTTTCTCTCATTGATATTTCTATCTCTCTATCCCTCTTCCTTCCTCTCTCTCTAAAATCAAAAACATTTTAAGAAATTATTAAATAAGAAATCTAATTTCTCTAAAACAGTGGATCTTAAGCTTAACTGCACAGGTAATATTAACCTGGGAGTTCAAAAAATACTGATGCCTGGCTTATCTGCCTTTCAAATTCTGAAGTAATTGATCTGGCCTGTGGTCTGGTCATCTAGATTCCTTAGGCTTTTTTTTGTTTGTTTTTGTGTGCTTTTTAAAAAAATATGTTTTATTGATTTTTTATAGAGAGGAAGGGAGAGGGATAGAAAGCTAGAAACATCGGTGAGAGAAAAACATTGATCAGCTGCCTCCTGAATACATCCCACAGGGGATGTGCCTGCAACCAAGGCACATGCCCCTGACCAGAATCGAACCTGGAACCCCTCAGTCTTCAGGCCAATGCTCCTCCACTGAGCCAAACCGGTCACGGCTAGATTTCTTAGTTTTCTTCTTTTTTTTTTTCTTTTAGCTGCATCCCTTTGATTCTAATGTGCGGCCAAGGTTGAGAACTGCTACTTTATTTTTAATATATATATATTTTATTGATTTTTTAATAAAATATATTAAAGAGAGGAAGAGAGAGGGATAGAGAGTCAGAAACAATGATGACAGAGAAATATCCATCAGCTGCCTCTTGCACACCCCCTACTGGGGATGTGCCCGCAACAAGGTACTTGCCCCTGACCGGAATCGAACGCGGGACCTTTCAGTCCGCAGGCCAATGCTCTATTCATTGAGCCAAACTGGTTTGGGCTATTTTATTTTATTTTATTTTTATTTTTATTTTTTTAAATATATTGTATTGATTTTGTACAGAGAGGAAGGGAGAAAGACAGAGAGTTAGAAACATCGATGAGCCGAAACTGGTTTGGCTCAGTGGAAGAGCGTCAGTCTGGAGACGAGAGGTCCTGGGTTCGATTCCGGTCAAGGGCATGTACCTTGGTTGTGGGCACATCCCCGGTAAAGGGTGTGCAAGAGGCAGCTGATCGATGTTTCTCTCTCATCGATGTTTCTAGCTTTCTATCTCTCTCTGTACAAAATCAATAAAATATATTTAAAAAAAAAAAAAAAAAAAAAAGATGGCAATAGAAACATCCATGAGAGAGAGTCATCGATCAGCTGCCTCTTGCACACCCCCTACTGGGGATATGCTCGAAACCAAGGTACATGCCCTTGACCAGAATTGTACCAGGGACCCTTCAGTCCCCAAGCTGACACTCTATCCATTGAGCCAAACCGGTCTTGGCTGGTTTCGGCTATTTTTAATATATTTTATTGATTTTTTTACAGAGAGGAAGGGAGAGGGTTAGAGAGCCAGAAACATCAATGAGAGAGAAACATCAATCAGCTGACTCCTGCACACCTCCTACTGGGGATGTGCCCGCAACCAAAGTATGTGCCCTTGACCGGAATTGAACCTGGGACCTTTCAGTCTGCAGACCGACACTCTATTCACTGAGCCAAATCAGTTTCAGCAAGAAGTGCTACTTTAAAACTCTTTAAAAACCAGCTGTTCTGTATTCCAACTGCCCTCCCCTGCCAGCCTGATCACCCCCAACTGCCCTTCCCTGCAGGCCCGATCACCTTTAACTGCCCTCGCCTGCTGGCCTGATCTCCAGCTGCTCTCTCCTGCCAGCCTGGTTGCCCCTAATTGCCCTCCCCTACTGGCCTTTTCGCCTACAACTGCCCTCCCATGCCAGCCATCTTATGATGGCCATCTTGTGACATTGTGGAGGTGGCCATCTTGTGATGACATGAGTGTGAGACGCCACCTAGGCTTTTATTAGTATAGATGTCACATTGAATGGCTTTTGGTTAGCAAACCAAATGTCATTGACTAGAAGAGATAGCATTTAAGCGATTTTAATCCCCCAGGTTTTGTTTTAGGAGACAGTGTAGGAAAAAGTAAAGGACTTTCCCATATCCTTCAATAGGTCATGTTCCAAACATCCATGAAATTAGGTAATATATTACTAATAATATTTCTAGAGCAGTTGATTTCTATCATCACTAAATAAATTTAATCAGTATCTCTTTTAAGTGCCTTAGTTTTATTCTTGTCTTTTTAGGAGGCTTGGGAACAGAAAGAAGATGATGACCTCAAAAGAGCTACAGAGTTAAGTCTTCAAGGTGTGGAGATTATTTTAATTACTTTTTTTTAAATGGTGACATGAATCACACAGAGAAAAGCATGTAAAATTTATTTTTAATAACAATAGCAAATTTGAACACCTCTCAGGTAAAGAAATAGAATCTTAAAAGATACCTGGATTCCCCGTTTTTCCTCCTTTTCCTAAAAGAAACCACGATTCTAACATTTGTATTCATTAATAGTTTGCTTTTTAAAAAAAAAAAAAAAAAAGATAGTATTTACTGTATCCATATTCCTAAACAATATACATATTTTTTTAATTTTGAAAAATTTAAATAGGACAGGTGGCTGTAATCTATCTATATGAAAATGCAGTAACTCCCCCTGTTAAGACTTCTGAGAGAAAATAAGGTGGCTTCAGTTTCCCCAAGAATTTACAAGAGCTCACTGTGAAAATCAGTGGGCAGTTATGTGTAAGTATTCAAAAGAGTAAGGTTCACCATAGTTATGGCATTTGCCAGAGCCAATATATGAACCAGGTGCTGCACTCCCATAGGGACCTGTAACCACAGGAAGTGAGCTAAGTCTGTATTTTCTGTTTCTAAGATTATTGTGGTCTTCCTTCAACTCAGAAATAGATCAAAGCAAAAACATTTTGATGGTATAAAATGAGAAAGACTAGTCTAGACACCATGACATGCATGAAAGAGCAAGAATTTGGGACATGGTTGAAACTATTACAATAAGAATTCAAGCTAAGCTCACACAGGCATTCTGTTCTCAGATTAAAAAAATGGAACCATGGTGGTAATGATGGCTGTGTCGAGTCCAATTGCTCCAGTCTGGACTGGTTGCTCTCTACATGCATGCACTGCCATCCTGAGATCACCCTAATCATTCTCCTCGGAGCTTCCTCTGGTTCTTTGCTGTTTGAATTTCCAGTTGTCTGTCTGTCACTAGTCCTCTTTCTTGATTTATTTGTGCTTTGATAGAGAACACCCCCAGGTAGTTTTCTTGATACAGAGGAGATATGACAGGTTTTTTTTAAACCTTGCAAGTTTTATTTTACTCTAGTATTTAATTAGTAGTCTGGCTAAATATAGAATTCCAGTTTTGCAGTCATTGTGAAAACAGTGTTTCTGCCAACTTCATGCTGCTGGGCAGTGGGAGAAGTTGGTTTGCGGGGTTGTGAAAAGTCTAAAGCTGTTCGTTCTTTATGCTGATGTGACCTCTTTTTTCTCTGAAAGCTATAGTATCTTCTCTTTGTTTTTGCTATAATGAAGTTTCATACTGATGTGCCTTGATGTGTGTCTGTTTCATCATTTTGGCAGGGTACTTGATGAATCATTTTAATCTAGAAATGTATCCTTGAATTCTAAGAAATTTTCACTGGTTTCCTCTCATCCACTCTTTCTCTTCTCTTTGGAACTCATATTATCCAGACTTTCTAGTATAGTCCTTTTAATTTTCTTATCTCTTCAGGTTGTTTTCATCTTGTCAATTTACTCTCCCTCTTGAAAGTTTTTCCATCCTTATCTCCAACTCTAAACTTCTTTCTAATTTTTAAAAACTGATTTGTGAATGTTCCTTTTTTGTAATTTTTTGTTTGTTTTGGTTTGGAAATAATACCATCTCAGTTCTCTGAGAATATTAAATATAGTTCATTTGCTTGTTTATTTCAAGTTTACTATAGCTGAATAGATCCCATCTTTTCCAGATTGCTCTGTACTGTTTATTATGGTTTTTATATTTCTTATTAGAGACTTTCCTCAGATATCTAATAATCCTTGATTGTCAGCTCATGTTTAAGAATAGGAGACTAAAAAGATGATTGGATACTCTGAACACATGAATCACTGGGATGGTCAACTTTTTAATTTTACAGGATGGGACTGTTTGGGAATGATGTTAATATTTTATCCTTTCTTTGGGCTGCTCAGATTCCTAAAGGGTGTTCAAATTTCGTGCCTTTGCCTAGAGATGAAATATGTGGCTGCCAGAGTTCTGAAAGGCAAGTCTAAGAATAGGACTGAGGCGGGGGCTATGCACATCCTTCAGAATGCAGGCTGTCATCTGGATACTGTTGGCAGTGTGGTTCACATAGCCTCCCCTTTGCCTGGCACACGATCCAGAAACTGTTTTACCTTCTCCACAGATTTTATTTATTCTAGCAGCATCAAGTAGGGTAAAGTGGATCCTGGGAATCTGTTTCTCAAATAACTTTCATCTAATCGTTATTTTTATCTCCTACTTAGCCTCTATTTCCAGAGATACCTGGTATTTCCAAGTTGTATGTCTTTTGAAGATTATAAATTGAATGGTTCTCCATTTTTCCATTATTGCTTAGGATTTGACTTTGGCTTTCTCAGATCTGCCACCCTTCTACTTTTAAATTCCAGGATGTTGAGGCCAAGTCTTTTTTTCTATTCTTCCCATTCTTAGGTGTTCATGTCTTTTAGACCGGTGGTCCGTGGACACTGGTGGTCTGCGAGGTTCCAATGGTTATCAACCGTTGCTTTAAACAGCTCTGTTCTGCCAAAACCGGTGTGGCTCAGTGGATAGAGCATCGACCTGCGGACTGAAAGGTCCTGGGTTCGATTCTGGTCAGGGGCATGTACCTTGGTTGTGGGCACATCCCCAATGGGGGGTGTGCAGGAGGCAGCTGATGGATATTTCTCTCATTGATGTTTCTAGCTCTCTCTCTCTCTTCCTCTCTGTAAAAAAATCAATAAAATATATTAATAAAATAAACAGTTCTGTTCTGTGATTTTAGTGGAATTAAATATATTTCAAAGCAGAGATCCATTTATGCACAAATGCTCCTGTGATTATTTAAGGATAGATTTATTATTTAAAGAAAAAATGGGCCCTGACCGGTGTGGCTCAGTGGACAGAGCATCGACCTGAGGACTTGAGGGGTCCCAGGTTCCGGTCAAGGGCAGGTACCTTGGTTGCGGGCTCGATCCCCAGTAGGGGGTGTGCAGGAGGCAGCCAATCAGTGATTCTCTCTCATCATTGATGTTTCTAACACTCTCTCTCTCTCTCCCTCTCCCTTCTCTGAAATCAATAAAAAAAATTTTTTTAATGGATCTTGGATTTGTTTGTATAAGGTAAATTTAAGACTTAAGGTAAATTTAAGATTTAAAGGTAGAATTTCCTTTATTTTTGTTAAATTTCAAGAAAATGATTTAATATTAAAGAGAATGAAAGGATAGTGACCTTTTTATGGTCTCTGAGATAATTTATATTTGCTAGTGTTGCCTAAAATATGCACCATGTATTTCAAAATTATTTATATAATATAGGATTTAATACAATTGGATTTCTTTCAAGTTAAATTCTCTTCAATTTTAGTCTTTGTGTGAGTTATATGCCTTTCATATAGATATATTTAAAAGGAAAAGGAGCATTTCTTTTACAGATACCAGCTACCTGAGTTGTTTTTTTTTTTAACCTGAGTTATTGGTCCCCAGAATTGGCTGGGTGAATTGGATGATAAAATGTGTACCCACATTGTTCTTTGCTTCCTAATCATCTCTTTGTGTCTATTCCAAGAAATTTTACAAGACTCTGTCTTTGTGTTCCTCAGAGTTTAACAACTCCTTTCTGGACTCACTGGGCTCTGATGAAGACTCTGGGAATGAGGATGTGTTAGACATGGAGTACACAGAAGCTGAGGCTGAGGAGCTGAAGAGAAATGCTGAGGTAGGTGACTCGGACTCGCCGATGCCTGGTAGCGTTGGTCTATCGGTCAGTATCGCTCCTGCTTTTCATCTTCATGGGCCCCACCGAGGTGCATTTCTGCCCTTCCGGTAACCAGCAAGTTGTCTTCACTTTCTCTTGTCCTCTTCTCCTCATTTCTGACAAGATTCAAAACAAAATGGAACAAAAACAGAAATACATCCTGACTACCTTATGTGCAGTTAGGTAAAACCAAGTGACATGTATATTAGATTTCTTTTAGTTCTACCGAAACTGTAAAAATTGTTAAAAGTAATAATGTTACTAGAATGCATTGGAATCTTTCATCTTTTTTTACTTTATTTTTAACATTGAGCATTTATGTTGTTTCTGTTTCTTCGGTGTAAAAAATAATACATTAAGGAACTGAATTATTGTAACATTTTCTATATTTAGGAGTTTTCTCCTAGAAGTCAATTACTACATCAAAGTTTATGACTATTTTAATGATTTCTGGTTTTCATATAGCTGTATTTGTTCCCAGAATTACAAGGCACCAGTGCTGCCTTGGTGCAGGAATATCTTTTCATTTTTTGTTTTATTTTCTTTGCTAACAATATTTTAATAGCATTTTTAGAAATATTTAAAACGTAAATGTTCATATATATTGATTTTAGGAAGGAAGGGAGAGGAAGAGAGAAACAGCAGTGATGAGAGGGAATCATTGATTGGCTGCCTCCCACACATTGGACTGAGCCCACAACCCAGGCCTGGGCCTTTGTCCAGAATAGCACCTGGGACCCTTCAGGCCACAGTCTGACACTCTGTTCATTTAGCCAAACCAGCTAGGGCAGCTCTTCATTTTTTATTCTGTTTTGAGTACTTAATGGTTAACATACCTATTTTTATAGAACTCTGGTTATTATGTGCATTTTTGTAGGTTTAAAAAAGGTAATATGTTGGTGACTCACATGATTTTTAAAATAGCTAAATTATATGGTATTGAGTTGCTGTACCACTAATGGTTTAGCTATTATTGGGCCTATTGTTAGTTCCGATTTTTTGTTATTAAAGATAATCTCTCCCTCTCCTTTCTACTCTGAAATCAATAAAATAAAATAAAATATATATATGAAAGATAATGCTATATTTATACATGTACTCTTCTTTTGAATTTTTAAAAAATATTTTTTTTTATTGATTTTAGAGCAAGAGAGAGAGAGAGAGACATCAATGATGAGAGAGAATCATCGATCAGCTGCTTTCTGCATGCCCCACACTGGGGATTGAGCCCACAACCTGGGCATATGCCCTCCTCCCCCGACTGGGAATCAAACCGTGACCTGCTGGTTCATAGTTAAATGCTCAGCCATTGTGCCACACCAGCTGGGCTTGAATTATTTTTTTAGAATATATTCTTGTTGGGAATAGAATTCTTGGATCAAAGAATATGAACAAACCAACCACTGGATATTTTATTGAATCTGACTACACACACACTAAAACTTAGCTATGTCAGCTTTGGTAATAAATTTAAAATTAGCGTTTTGCTTTTTATTCAATGAGGAGTTAAAAGTCATGCCTACTTCTATTTTCCAGACAGGATATCTTCCTCACTCCTATCGGCTCATCAGTGTTGTCAGTCACATTGGTAGCACTTCTTCTTCAGGTAAGTGGACAAAATGAGTTTAGCATTTTATAAATGGACAGCCAGTATTTACTCCTTATTAGGTTATTGTGTACCTCACTTTGTGAGGAATAAGTTGAATGCATCAAGAAAAACGTTGAAGTCTTTTGTCAAAAAGTTGTCATGGTATAGTATATTTTCACCTTACATGTTTCTATTTGTTTTTTGAGTGATTTTTAGAAATTTCTATAGGAGTAAGGTAGATAGGATAGCTGTTTCTCTTTCTTTCTGAAACTTCCTATCACAGAAAAATGCAAAGAATTTTTATAGACTTCAATTTTAATTTTTTTTTATTTCAGGTCATTACATTAGTGATGTGTATGACATTAAGAAGCAGGCGTGGTTTACTTACAATGACCTAGAGGTATCTAAAATCCAAGAGGCTTCTGTGCAGAGTGATCGGGATCGGAGTGGTTACATCTTCTTCTATATGCACAAGTAAGAAACTCCCAGACCTAAAGACACGGGTTAAAAATTACTCAACTCTCTTTTCTTCCTTAAGAATAAAATGTCCCCATTATTTAATTGGTTGATAAACTTTGTTTTGTTATCTTTCCTTAGGGCTCATGTTTTATTTCCTTATAAGTCCAGAATATTTTCTCCTTTAATTCAGCATTAATTACTCATCACATAGTAGCATGTAGGTATGGAACTTAAGACTGTTTTGATAGGAGCTGTCTTATCATAAGCCTTTTTGGTCTTCTAGTTGTGTCAGCTAGAAGATCTACATTATGTCGATGGAAACTACATAACATTTTTATGAAAGCTGGCTCTTGCCAGCCTCCTCTCCTAATGTTTTCAAAAATCAGCACTTGGGGTTAAGAGGGTGATCAAATAAATGAGCTGCTTATTTTATAAAAATTTAGGCACCAAATAGTATTATGCAGGCTTTATCAGTATATTTTCTGCATATCCTTTGGCTTTGCTCACTGAACGCTTATTTTTTTGTTTTATTTTAAGGGAGGTCTTTGATGAGCTGCTGGAAACAGAAAAGAACTCTCAGGCATTCAGCATGGAAGTGGGGAAGACTCGCCAGGCCTCGTGAGGAACAGCCTGCTGGGTTGGCAGTATGCACTGCATACTCTCCCTTACTGTCGCCCACTCACCCTCCTCCACCTGCGGAGAAGTCAGAACTCTACTTGATGCGGGAGCAACAAACAGCTCAGGGCCAAACCAAAAGGCGAAAATTGCAGTTATGTGGAATGCTCCATGCTAATTGTTTTATGGAAACTTTGGTCTCACCTCTATAATTGATTTTCTTCTTTTCTCCTACAAGAGTAGCACTTCTTTTGTCTTGGAAATTCTTGCTGTAAATATATATATGTACATACAAACATATATGTGGAATGATGGAGCCTTACAGAGTTAGGATGAGCCACTAGAGTATGCCTGCTCAAAATCAGTAGCACAGCAGTTTAGAGAAGATGTTAAGTTGTCAAAGAATTCATTCACCTGAGCGATGTGTACAGATGTACATATCAGTTGACATTTGGCTTTTATGTTCTTTGAGTAGTTTCACTCAAATTTCTAATTTCTCATGTGTTTCTTATTAGTAAAGGTCACTGGAAAATAAGCTCTCCATGTTACACTAATGACAGTTTGTCCTCCTTGCGAAGGGGGTGCATTTCTGCCACCTGACTTGGGGGGCTATTTTTTAAAAATTCATGGACTTGCAATGCTTTTGCTGTTTACATGTAGTCCCAAGAAATGGATTGTTGTTGGTGCTTGGAATGTGTTATGGTCCCACATTTGGTATTTATTATACACTTTATATTTTCTTTAAAGAGATTCCTTCACAACAGTATGTTCATTGTAAATCATCTATATTACAGTGGTAAAGACAGAATGGAGCAAGCATTATCCTAACAGAGTTCAATCAGAACTTTAAAAGGTAGGAAAATAATATTGTCCCCATTGGGACTCCCCAGCAAGGATACTTAGGGATAAGGAGGAATACTAGGATCTCTGTCTCTCCGAGAGGACAAGAGGAGTGTTCTGGTTTAAAGCTAAAACTCTGGACCACTGAAGCTGAAAGACTGCTACAGTGTGAACTAAGTGCGTGAGTGTACGAGAAAGCTTAACATTTAACCTCCCGCTGTCTGGCTTTACTCTTACAACAGAGTGGGAATTCAAGTGTGATCGGTTTAGATAATCCCCAGAACTAATATATAAAGGTGCATAATATATTTATCCTACTTTTTAGGTGCTTCGAGTTGAGGTTAAAGGGGGTGCAGCATTAATTGCTGCGTTATTGGTTCAGCAGCTTGTGAAACTATATAAAGGATGAGTTTGAGAGTAGAATTCTGTCCAAAAAATAATTCTGTGAGCCCAGGGATCGTTAGGCTCATACAGAGTTAAGTATAGCAATATAAAACCTTCAGTACTGTTTCTGGTTTTTTATTGTAAACAGATCACTCTTCAGAGGTAGGGAAAAAACTGTTAGCAGGTTTTCAAGGGAAGAAACAGTGTAAAGTTCATTGTCACAGAAGATGCAACACCTTTTCTGGAAAATTGCTGTAAGAGAGCTCCAGCCCCACTCTTAAGACTTGGATGTATTCTGACATAGTAACCTCTTCTAAAATTTTGAGTTTTTGGATTGTAAACGGCCCCCACACTTTTGCTTAACTACTGATAAAAGCTTTACTTCCTACCACTTACTTAGATGTTACTCTAATAAAAGTTTCAAATGGTATGGTGGTAGGATACGCAAGAGTAGTATAGAGCAGAGGAAATATTTGTTTTAAAAACTAGCTTTTTATGTTTTATTTCTACTGGAGAGTTCCTTTTTTTTCTTTTTTTTTTTTTTCTTTTTTGAAAATAACTGGTTTTCTTATACAAATGAAGTGGTGATCAAGTTCTCTAGCTATTTATTATTCCTCTTCCCTGTGTCTGTATTTGAGAGCCTTGAGAGGTATTAAAAATGATTGGGAATGATTTGAAGTGAGGGGTACATTAGGTTAGGGCGTTAAAAAAAAATTTAGAAACAACACCATAAGCCTACATTGCCCATGAAATACCCTCGTTGACTTGCTTTTCATAGCTTGGTTGTGGTTATGGTTTAGAATAATCTTGGCTCAGAAACCTAATTTGATTTGATCTTCATGTCTTGGGCAGAACTTACTAGTTGAATGAATACACAGGTACTGGGGTAGATGAGTTAAGTTACTTTCTTGTTTTGATTTAGTGAAGGATTAATGACTACAGATGGAGATTTTTATCTGGACCATGTTAATGGGGTTTATTGTTTTGTTTTTGAGCTGACTGTATATATTTAAAAATTATAAGTAGATATTTTCTTATGTAGTCTGATCAGTTTGCTCTGAGTCAGGGGATTGGGATGGCATTTGGTATGTTGTGCCAGGAAGGGACAACTGAAATAGGGACAGAGTGCTTCAGTCCCAGGCAGCCTGCACAGAAACTAACTAACTTTCCTATTGAAAATACCACATGTGGTTACAATTTTCTAAATGGCATTGAATTTGGAACTTGACAGCACTTAGTTTTGCACTCACCTGATCTTAATTGGAACTTTTTTGAAAGGAAAAAACAAATTCAAACTTGATTCTTATTGGCTAATGTTATAATGGAGAATTGGAAGGTTGCATGTTGTCAAATGCTCTCTCTTGTCACTTTAGTAGCCATGGCTATAATTTAAGCCTGTGAGAAGATAGACTGTTTTGTGGGCAAAATATATGTGTGTGCACACTCATAAGTTTTGTTTCAGCAAACTAGAAAAGAAGCAGATCCATGACTTGTTCTATTTATATTTTTATTCCAAACGCTGTTTACTTACCAAGGTCTGTTAATTTCAGGCCTAATTTAATCATTCAATAGCAAATATAACAAATGTAAGCGTGTTTACATTTTAAGAAGTTACTACCAGCTAACTCTAGGAGGCAAACAGACTACACAATTCTTTCTTTCTTTGTCTAGTATAAAATCCTTTTACAAGAGAAGCTTTAAGAATTAAAATCTCAGCAAGTGAAATCCTGGCTTTGCTTACCCTTCCATACTGCCATTACCATTATATAACTACATAAATATAGCTACAGCTATAGATATAGTTGTATAATGAAGGTTGTTTGAAAATATCTAAATTAAAGAAATTCTTGGCAACGTCTCACATATAGTTGAGTGCTTGGAGTGCAGAGAGAACATGTAGAGAGAGCATAAGGAGATGGGGTGGAAACATACAGAAAGAAGGTAGTTTATAAACTCATTTGTGATCTGAAAAGAGATTATATTAAGACAAATAAAGACATTACCCTTCTCTGTCCTCTGAAACGGCAGTGGGTGCTCTTAGTCACCTAGCCGCCTTTTGCCCAGTCTGATTTAATTGATGACCTTAGGTGGTGTTTTAAGTCAGGGAAACAGCTGGATCTTCAAGTCCGTGCGGATCTTGTTTATGTGTGGAGATTTCTAGAAAACCAACAACCCAGTACCAGTTGCAAGTCACATGAAAATGTGCCCCCGAAACAGATATGTCCTTTTCCTCCTCCCACCTCGCCTCACTCGGAGTCATGCTCTTTTTATGTGCGCGCGAAACCAAATCCCTGACCCTTACCATCTTTCCGCTGTATTACTTCAGAATCCTGATCTTGTCTCTATTGATGGGCCTTATTAACATCTAAAAGTGTTTTGTTTTCTAATTGGGGAACTGTAGTTTGTTAGGTCTTGAGAGTTGTGTGACAGAATTCTTTTTTGCCATGTCTCACCAGATCATTGACTCGATGGCATGCTTTAATTACTAGGCTTCAGGCAGTCTCTTTGGTTGTATCATATTTATAAACAACGAGTTAAGTTTTCCTTTCCATGTGTGCTATGTGTCTGAGGTTTTGATGTTTTAATAAAACGTGTGCCAGTATGAATACAAGCAGTTGATAACATTGGACTTTTGGTAACAATGGACTTTTCTTAAAGTACAGAGACGAAGAATAGGTGTGTACACTGACATAAAAATAGAGCGGATTGAAGTTCTGGATCAGAGCCCAAGTTCATTAGGCCAAAGCAAAGAGGAGCAGTTGATGGGACTGGTCTGTTTCAAGAATGGGAGGGGGTGTTGGAAGAACCTGCACGTGGTTGTACACACTCGGGTCCCAGGTTTCCTTCCTTCTGAGGCTCTGGCCTGTCAGTGTCTGTGTATGCCGAGGAGAGGAAAACAGAAGTAAGCTTCCTACACTTCGCCTAGTTGAGCCACTAGCAGGAGTGCTGGCAGCTTTGGCCACATCTGTGAGCTGGTTTTCTTTGTGTTCAGAGTGATTCTGAATCTTTATGTTTTGTTTTGTATGGAGCGGCACTTTATCTGTGTTTTAGCAGAACTGTTCCTCTGTATTCCTTAGTTTTTCTTTGTTTTGGTTCCTTTTTAAATTATGCATAGAGGGTTTTTTTGTGTGTGAAATTAAAGCCTTTATTAACCCTGTGTTGGTTTGACTTATTTCTGAAAAGGACATATTCTTGCAGACACGTATTAGCTGTTGAAGTTGTAGAAACCGCCTTCTGTTGGCCTTCAGACTTGGGACTTGGTGCAGCACTGTTAAACCCTAAAGAAAATGGGCTGTACGCCAGCATATGCACCAGTTCCTGTGGTGGTCACCTGAGGAGCCAAGGAAGCTGCAGAGGTTCTGGATAACAGTTTATAAGCCCAGCATTGGCCTTAGCGTTCTTGTATTACACCTTTTCCAGAGAAAGGTGAAATGGCATCGGCAGTTCACACTTGCCTCAAGCCTGAACCCATTGGGTATGTTGCTCTCACTGGGGATTGGTTTGGTGAGTATTGTGAAACCTACCAAGGTATCTCCTAGGCCAGTGGTCGGCAAACTGGGGCTCGAGACCCACATGTGGCTCTTTGGCCCCTTGCGTGTGGCTCTTCCACAGAACACCACATGTACAGTGCGATTGAAACTTGGTGGCCCATGCGCAAAAGTCTTCTGCTCTCAAAAGAAATGTCAATCTTTGTCCTGTTGATATTTGGCTTTATTGACTAATGAGTTTACCGACCACTGTCCTCAGCTATTGAACTCCTTCAAAGAAGGGATCCCCTTTAACTTATCACCAGAGGAAGGCCTATGTGAAAAGGAAAATCTGTTTCTCTGGGAAAAGTGTAAAACAAAAATTCTTCAGCCCCTGCCATTGCTAACGCACAGCCTGCAGAGGACTCGGCACCGTGTTCCCTGCAGGGTCGGGAGCTTCTGAGAAGGGGAGCTCTGGAACAGTTTAAAGTGGGGCCATACCCCAGGACGGAAATAACGCAACCACCTTTTGTGGTGGTAGTGGTATTTATTTTTGTTTTTAATATATTTTATTGATTTTTTACAGAGAGGAAGGAAGAGGGATAGAAAGCTAGAAACGTTGATGAGAGAGAAACATCGACCAGCTGCCCCTTGCTCACCCCCTACCGGGGATGTGCCAGCAGCCAACGTACATGCCCTTGACCGGAATTGAACCTCGGACCATTCCGCCCGTAGGCCAATGCTCTATCCACTGAGCTAAACTGGTTTCGGCATGCGGTGGTGGTGTTTTTAATTAAAATAAAAAGTGTCAATGACTATGGTTGGTGCCAGGTGGTACTGATTTATCAGGGAATCACTTTGTAAATTACATCAATGTCTAACCACAATGATGTACACCTGAAACCAATAGAATACTGAATGTAAACTGTAATTGAAAAAAACATATTTACATGGTTAGAAAGTAGAGTGATGACACTCCAGAGCCCATGATTATAACATTTGATTCCATTTCTTTAAAGCAAGGAGGGGAATTGAGAGTCGCTCATTTCTTTATGCCCTCTCTGTGCAAACGTCCTAAGTAGCATGTAGCTACAGATACCTTTATAATCTGAAATCATTTTTAAAAAAATAATTTTATTGATTTTTTTTTTTTACAGAGAGGAAAGGAGAGGGATAGAGAGTTAGAAACATCAATGAGAGAGAAATATTGATCAGCTGCCTCCTGCACACCTCCCACTGGGGATATGCCCGAAACCAAGGTACATGCCCTTGACCGGAATCAAACCTGGGACCCCTGAGTCCTAAGGCCGACGCTCTATCCACTGAGCCAAACTGGATAGGGCCATTTCTTTATTTTTTAAAAATTTAAGTTTATTGGGGTGACACTGGTTAATAAGATTATGTGGGTTTCACGTGTACATTTCTGACACATGATCTGTATATTGCACTATGTGCCCACCACCCAAAGTTAAATCATCTCCCATCACCATATATTTGGTTCATTTTACCTTAGTACCCTCCCCCCTTTCTCTGGGAACCCAGACACTGTTGTCTGCATCTATGAGCTTCAGTTTTATTTCTGTATGAGTGTGATCATATGCCACCACCGTGAGAGCTGAAGTTGGGACCACAGCCGCCTCTGGAGGCATCACTTTTGTGGAGGAATAGGTTAGTGAACAGAAGCATTGCCACAGACTGCTGCGCACAGGTACAAGTAAAATGTCTCGATTTGTAAAGGATTAATACCAGTAATAACAGAACAAAACTGCTTCGCAACCCCAGATACTCTTAAAATAGTCCATTGGCTTTCTTAAGGTTTTGTTGCTTCCATTGAGGCAAGGCAGAGAAGGCGGCTGGAGTCATCCCCAAGGCTTTGATGAAGTCCTCAGGGGACAGGTGCATCTAGAACAGGGACCAGAAAGCAAAGGTCACACTTTTTCCCAGGGTTTGCTTTCGTGAGTCATACAGGTGTGGTATAGAAACCAAACGAAGAGCAAAAACAATGCACGGAGGACTGGGAAAGGGATGGGGAGGCGGGTAAACTCAAGAAATGGGATCCCTGAATTGGGAGCGTAATAAAAAGGACGCTGACAAACGAGGTAGATTGAGCTGCTTTTCTTTCCACACGGTCAAGTTCACACCAGCCCTGAACTAAGCAGGACATGACTTAGTTGCTTCTCTTTCCAGGATTTAGTTTTCCTCTCTGAAATGGGAGAAATTTCTCATTTGGCTGAGCATCTTCCCATGAGCCAAGAGTTCGCTGGTGTGGGTCCCTGTCAGGGCCCGTGCTGGGATTTCCCATTTCTGGGGCCGTTCCCAGTGCGGGGCACACAGGAGGCCGCCGATTGGTGTTTCTCTCCTAGATGTTTCTACCTCTCAACATTTTCCTAAAGGGAGAAATTTCCTAAAGGCCCATTTCCACTTCTTTTTGATGCTTTTATGGAGATGAGAATATCACATATGAAAGGGCATTGGTCTCATTCATCTGCCTCCTTATCCAACTATGACCCTCCAGCTAGGATTCACTTTTCTGAGCCTTGGGTATCTTCAGCCATAAGATAAGGGGATTTGCCTGACTTGATCTTTGCTCCCGGCTGGTACACTGTTTAAGGCCAGCTGGATACCCTCAAGGCACATTCAAGCAAGAACCCCCAATGAAAGCTGCTATAAAACGGCCCCCTGCAGCCATCACCTCTGCTTGCTGCCTCAGGCACCAGGAGGAAGCGGGTGCAGTGAAAGCAGTGGGTCTCTTCTCCATCACGGACACACACACACACACACACACACACACACACACACACACTGCTGACTCCACAGAGATCCCTGGTCGGAACACCTTGTAAACGCCTGCGGCTGGGTTTCAAGTTCAGGTGGTTCTGACGCCCCAGTTCTCTAGCCTGTCATTAGATTTGCCTCCAGCCACCAGGCTCCCGGGGCTCTCCCCACCCCCACCCCCACCCCCACCGGCAGGGCGGTGAAGTGCCTTGTTTGGGAAGAAGAGAGTAAGTGTGAGTGGTTTGGGCATCAATGACTAGGGAAGAGCTGCCTACCTCAAGTCTGTCTGTAGCTTCCCGCCCAGCCAGAGCCCTCAGCTGTCCGCAATGTGCTCGGCCTGTGAGTGGCTTCAACTGCCCCCTCTGGCCCCCCAGGCTGGCCATGCAGCTTGGTGGAGACTTCTGGACTTTGACCTTCGAGCTAATAGCAGAGACTGCCCATCCCAGTGGACTTGTATCTTTCCACCGGCCTGTTCTTGAACCCTGCTATCCTGCCAGCTGATTGCCGGCCTCACCCATGCCCACATCCGCTCTCGGGGCTTACTCACGGTGCTCAAACACTTAGATTACAGTCAGGCCCACCGTCCCGCTGCTCGCTGTCACTGGCTCCACTTCTGAATTCGGAGCAGCCAGAGGTCTGCAGACCGCTCCCACCCTCCCCACTGGGCACTGCACCCACAGCTCTCCCACAAGGAGGTAAAAATCAGCCACAGGCAACGGATCGCTTTAAAAGGCCCAAAGACTAAGGAGACGGCTGCTACTCCGTTAGGGTGGTGTTAGTTCCGAGTGCTTCATTCAAAATGAGCAGCCCGGTGAGCCTCCTGTCAATCACTGGTCAGTAACACCGGCTGCCCTTCCCTTTGCAAATCCTCTGTGTGTGCCGCCTGAGGTGACATAACAGAGGGACTCAGAAGGCCTGGTTCTTGGTCTGTCTTCACTATTAAGTAGTTACATCACATTAGGCAAGTCCCTTCCCTGCTCTGGACCTGAGTCTTTTCAGGAGTAAAAGAGCAATGGTGATCACAGCTCACATGTATAGAGCACTTTTTATACACTAGAGGCTGGGCAAGTAATATTTATAATACAGTTATTACGAATAATACATTGGTATCTCCCAGAATTATAGTGAAGACACAGATGGGCTCATCTGAGAGAGAATGCGTGAAGGTGGTCTCCAAGGTGAAGGGCAGGATGTACATGCTCTGGAAACTACCCTTCCACATACATCGGGCCCAAACCCCGAATGGACTTGGATATTCTTGGAGAAATCAGGTCTCTCTTCAGTGGCAGTCCTAATCCATTTGTAAGACTTCTTTATGGTTTGCTACACATAAGACACATTTTTTTCCTCTCAGCACCCCATCAAGCTAGATCTGCAGTCTGTTTTGGATCTTCATGAAGTGGGAGTGAATATTAGAAATGTGTTTTTGGCGCCAAACTCTTCCCCCAGGGGACCCATGCAGCTGCAGTGGCGGCAGCCAGCTGGGTGTGCCCGGCGCCTCTGAACTGCCTGCCCACCGACACGTATCTCAGCCCGGAAGTCTCCCAGGTGTCCCAGACCACAAGGCTGCACTGAGCTCACGATCACCCTCTGAGCTCGGTCTGACTCAGGGCTTTTTCGTTTTTATTTTCTCTCTCAGAGAATAACACAATCTCCCCCTCTCTCACACAGCCTTTATCCAGTACTTACCAAGTGTCATTAATTTTATCTCCTATAATTTCTCCAAATCTTCTCCTTCCCTTCACCTTCCCCACTGCCACCTATCATATTATGCTAAGCTACCATCTGCTCTCAGCCTAACTTCCGGTGCTGCTGCTGCCACTTTCCAATGCCTCCTTCACTAAGCTGCCACAGTGGGCTTTTAAAAGTGAAAACCTGACTGCCATCTGCTCGCTTCAACCATGATGTCTACCTTTCACTTTCTTAAAATATATTTTTATTGATTTCAGAGAGGAAGGAGGGGAGAGAGAGAGAGAGAGCGAGAGAGAAATGACACTGAGGGAATCATTGATCAGCTGCCTCCTGCACACCGCACACTGGGGATCAAGCCCACAACCTGGGCACGTGTCCTGACCGGGAAGTGAACTGTGACCTCTTGGTTCATAGGTCAATGCTTAACTACTGAGCAACGGCCCCCGGGCAGCTCCCTTCCGCTTTTAGGATAACACCACCCTCCACCGTCGCTAACACAGCACTAAAGGTACTGCTCAGTTCAACCCCTGACCCTCCGGCCAGCTGCCCCACCCCGGTGCTCGCATGTCACCACTCTGGCATGTTGCTCCACTCTGTGCTCATTCCCTGCCTCTGGGCTTCGTGCACGCTGTTCCCTTCTCCAGGAACAGCCCATTCTGCCTGATAATTCCTGTCAGAGGGAAGTCTTCTCTGACCAGCCCGGGTTCCCTTTGTAATGCTCTTCACGGCACCTATCCTCACTGACATTAAATAATAGTGTGGTCGGGCTCCTTCCTCCCCCACACTGAGATGTCACCTCACATGAGGGTAGAGACCAGGTGTGTTTTGTTCACCGGTCGTCCCCAGCATCTGGTCATCGGCAGGGTCCAATCTGGGGGTTAATTAGTGTCCACAGAGTGGACAGGCCTCACTCAGCTCTTCCTCCTCCTCCAGTCTGACCCACCTCCTTCCGGCAGGGGTCCACGCCCGCAGGAAGCTCCTCCACCGTATTGTTCACCAGCTGCTCCAGGGGGAAGATGGGGAGAGGCCCAGAACTGAGATCGCTGTTGGCATTGAACACGTCCAGCTTAGGGTTTGTGATCTCCTAGAGGAGAAAAGGAAACTGTTACTTTAGCTGGTTTGGGGCTACCTCCATGACCCCACTTCCACCGCCCACCTACATACACATACACATGCACATACACATACACACACACACACACACACACACTAGTAAGCCAAAGCTTGGCGGTGTGTATCCAACCAGAGCCAGTGGTTAAAGATGGCTCTCATTCTAGGACATAGGAACGTCTCCATGGCTTCCCCCAGATGTCCGAGGTCTATCTGAGACATTTATGACCCTCTCTCTTATCTGTTGTGGACTTGTCATCTGGCAAGTCACATAACCTTGACCTCTCCATCGTTTCCTGCCTGTGTTATCAATCTAGTAAGGAGGGTTAATGAACGCCACCGGGCTCTCAGCCTGTGGTGGGGCTGAGGAGCCATATATGTTATCTGCTGATTACGCTGGTGAGCTTGGGAAATCACTCTCGTTCTGGACACATTTCTGCCGTCTCGCTGGCTTTGTGTCATCTGCAAGCCTGTGGGCCTCCTAAAGGAGAGGCTTTGCTTTCACATTTCCGTGTCCCAGCCCTCCAGGCTGCACACATCTCTGTAACTAGCCGGAAGAGAGAAGGAGCTGCATTATTCCACCTGTAGAGGGGACCGCACGGGCGACAATAGTAGAGAAATCATTTCTCCAAGTGCCATCTGTGAGCTAACTGCGTCACATTCCCTGGACCCTATTGAAAAACACACGTATTCCTAGGTCTCAACACAAGTTCATAAACCAGAATCTTTGGGAGCGAGTGAGACCTTCCAATCTGCAGCTTTATGCTTCCCTTACCCCCAGGTCCCCATCACCCGGCCTCTCGTGCATGGCAGTCTGTGAGAGCCATTTCCCCGGGGCATGGAGAAGAAGAACAGCTAGAGACAATGAAGTGGAACAGCAGGAGGAACCTCAGTGAGGCGTGGAGGACACGGGGAAGGAAAACACGGGACACTGGCATCTTCTCTGGAGCTTTCTTAGCCCCCACAGGTCTGACCATGCTCAGATGCCCACTGCCCCATACTCACATCAGTGATCCAGCTCCAGTCCCCAGAGGTGCCAAGCTCCGCCTTCAGGTCCTCGTAGGATTTGGCATTCTGCATACAAAACAAGGAACAGATTAGGCCTGGCTCTCAGCAGAGGAGACAGAAGATCATTTTCCTTCAAGAGTTAAAAGAAGGCTGGCCTACAGCCTGGGGCTGAGAAAGGGGAGAGGGAGCTGGGCGGGGGGCTGGAGGAGGGTCCCTGAGAAAGGAGGTGGGGCGATGAGGATGAGGATCAGCACTGAAGGTCAGAAAAGGCCCAGCTTAGGGATGGAGTTGATTGATGACCTTTCCCTGCCTCCAGAGGCCCATGCCAGCAGCCCTTCAAAGCCTTAAGAACCCCGCCTACACTGTAGGTGCTGAAGGACTCCGGGGTCCTGGGAAACTGGAAGGCTCTCCTGAGAGCCTGGAGGGAACCATGCCACAAAGGAGGAAAGAGAACAGAAGAGACCAAGGCTCCATGAGCCCCATCTCCATATCCCCAAGACCTGCACCAGCCATGACAATGAGCTTCCGTTATGCTGGATGAATTAATGAATGAATGAGTGAATGAATGAAGTCTGAGAGCGAAGCCAGCACAGACTTGAGGCAAGGAAAGACAGCCAAAGTTGTTGACTTGGGATGCTGATGATGTGAATTTAAGAAGTTCTGGCACCTGGAATTGCAACCTTGAGATTTGTCTGACTCCATCCTCAAAACTAAACTCAGCCCACTGAATTTTTAAAAATATACTTGAGGAAATTAACCAAAGATCATCTGCTGTGCCAACTGAGCGCACCCAAAGCCGTCAGGCCAGCCATCATTCTAATTGCCTTCCTCCTTCCGGCGGAAATCTTTGCTGTGTTCCGTCTGAGGCCCCCCACTTCTGCTTGTCTCTGGGGCCAGTTCAGGAAAATCCCGTGGAAGTCTGAGTCCCTGCCTCTCAGGAAGGACCACGTGTGTGACCCGTTTTGCTTAGAGTTTAGTGCCACGAGGACATCTGTCTGCACGTTGGAACGGACGTTGCCCTTCATCTGGCACGAGGGCCCACCAGTGCCGTCCCATCGAACTTCCTGTGGCCGTGGACATGTCCTCCTGTGCTGTCCGATGGCGCAGCCACTAGGCCGCATGTGGCTACTGAGCACTTAACGTGTGGCCAGTGAGAAACGGAATCTTTAATGTTGTTTCATTGGAGTTCATTTAAGGAGCCCGCACAGCTCTTACCAATAATGGGTAACAGCTTTGACCTAAAGCTAGTGTGCAAGCAATGGCCTGTCATCAGCCCGAGTTTCCTTCCCCCACCCTTCCCCTCACCCTCACCAGGGGGCTTCATAACCTCACTGCAGCCTTACTTCTCCTTCTAAACTCTTCATGAAGCCGACACCGGTGTGGCTCCGTAGATAGAGCGTCAGCCTGCAGACTCAAGGGTCCCAGGTTCGATTCCGGTCAAGGGCATGTACCTTGGTTGCGGGCACATCCCCAGTGGGGGATGTGCAGGAGGCAGCTGATAAATGTTTCTCTCTTATTGATGTTTCTAACTTTCTATCCCTCTCCCTCCCTCTCTGTAAAAAGTCAATAAAATACATATATTTAAAAAAATAAAAAATAGTCGAAACCGGTGTGGCTCAGTGGATAGAGCGTCGGACTGTGAACTGAAGAGTCCGGGTTCGATTCCGGTCAAGGGCATGTACCTAGGTTGCGGGCACATCCCCAGTGGGGGATGTGCAGGAGGCAACTGATGGATGATTCTCTCTCATCGATGTTTCTAACTCTCTATCCCTCTCTCTTCCTCTCTGTAAAAAGTCAATAAAATATATTTTAAAAAAATGAAATAGAAAGAAACTCTCCATGAATATTCCCATGTCCTCTGGCACCTGCTCTCAGGAAGCCGTGCCGTGCCAGGACAGGCGGCCAGCCACTCACACTCCATTTGAAGGGGTCCCACGCCAGGAACCAGCCCGTGAAGGTCGGGGGCTCATGCCCCTGCTTCACCACGACGATGGGGGTCTCGGGGTCCCGGCCGCTGGGGTGGGTCTTGAGGTACTCCTGCACGGTGGTGGCGGCGGCCTTCTTCTCGTCCTCGTTGGCATGCTTCCCGATCCAGAAGAAGACCTGAGGGAGCCGGCCCGTCAGTCCGCCCGTGCTCCGGCCCTCGGGCCGCCAGGCTCCGCCAGGCTCAGCCGTCCCACGGCAGGACGGGGGACGGAGGGACGGGGGACGGAGGGACGGGGGACGGAGGGACGGGGGACGGAGGGACGGAGGGATGGAGGGACGGAAGGGCCGGGGGACGGGGGACGGAGGGACGGGGGACGGGGAACGGAGGGACGGAGGGACGGGGGACGGGGGATGGGGGGACGGAGGGACGGGGGATGGGGGACAGAGGGATGGGGGACGGGGGACGGAGGGATGGAGGGATGGAGGGACGGAAGGGCCGGGGGACGGGGGACGGAGGGACGGAGGACGGGGGACAGGGGACGGGGGACGGGGGACGGAGGACGGAGGGACGGGGGATGGAGGGACGGAGGGACGGGGGACGGAGGGACGGGGGGACGGAGGGAGGGTCTAGGTTTGCCCTCTTCTTCCCAGAGGGCAAACCTAGTGCCTCCTCTGGCTGTGCCTCCCCTGGCTGTGCCTCCTCTGGCTGTGCCTCCCCTGGCTGTGCCTCCCCTGGCTGTGCCTCCCCTGGCTGTGCCTCCTCTGGCTGTGCCTCCTCTGGCTGTGCCTCCTCTGGCTGTGCCTCCTCTGGCTGTGACCGCCTCGGACAGGCACGTCTGGCCCTTGGCTTTGCTTCTGGGCAATGAGGAGGTGGGACAGGTGCTCTCTACGTGGACATTCTGCAAATATGTGGCTTCAGGGCCCACGCCCCTCGAAAGCACTGCTCTGCCACGTGACGTAGATGGGGTTTGGGAAAAGATGTCCCACCCAGCGGCCCCTCCAGGCCGCCTTCCTCTGCCCTAGGCCCCTGTGTTCCTAACGCCGCTCCCAGGAAGAGCACCGGGGAGCCGAGGACGCATCAGATCTCCCTGTGCCTCAGGGCCGTTCCCGGCCAGGCTCCGTCCTACCTGGTCCCACACATCGAGCAGAAACACGTCGTCCTCCTCCAGGTCGTCCTGAGTGAAGTCGGGGATCTCGGTGGCCAGGAAGCGCCCGGTCTGGTTGGAGCACTCGAAGAGCCGGGGCGTGAAGGCCGAGTTCTCCTCCTGCAGCCTGCAGGGGGGACGGGGCGGGAGGAAGGCGGGCGGGGAGAGTCAGGCAGAGCTCTGAGGGAGGGACCCCCACAGGAGAGCCGCCTCCGGGAAACGCGCTCTCCTCTGGTCACGCAAAGGCCCCTCCGCCACAAGCCTGAGGCGCCCGGAGACAGCCCGCCGATTCTCCAGGGCCCGCGTCCCAGTGGCTCTGCCTGGTCCGTGAGGCAGTCCTTCCCAAGACCTTCCTTCTCTGCCTCCTGCTGCTACTCCCGTGAACCAATGGCCTTTTGCTCTGAACAGGGGGCCATGGATCTTCTTCAGAAAAGCCGTTTGAAGGAGGAGGGTTCACAGCTGGTAACCCTCAGCATTCGGGTCCCTCCCGAGTCCACCCCGAGGGCAGGAATGGAGGGGGGGGCTCTGACCTCTTCTTCCCAGAGGGCAAACCTAGAGCCCTTTGGCTGCCTCCTCTGGCCGTGACCTCTGGCCGTGACCTCCTCTGGCCACGACCCCCTCTGGCCGTGACCTCTGGCCGTGACCTCTGGCCGTGACCTCCTCTGGCCGCGACCTCCTCTGGCCGTGACCTCTGGCCGTGACCTCTGGCTGTGACCTCTCTTTCCAGGGAAACACCCCCAGGCCCAGGCGGGCCGTGGTGCGAGCACAGCCACTGCCCGTGTCTAAGGGGTCTGAGAGCGTGGCCGCTCCTGACTCATCTCGTGGCCCTGGGGGCCTGGCCCACGGGGTCCTCAGTCCAGGCCCGCCGGAGGCAGGGGGACCCGTCGTTACGAACCTCTTGGTGTTGGCGTAGGGCGCCTTCCCGCCCAGGGCCATCCAGAAGTTGGCGGGCTCCTGCCCCTCCACCACCACTTGCTTCTCCGTCCGGGAGATGGTGTCAGCCACCATCTTGGCCATCTCCCGCTCATCTCCGCTGCAGCCCTGGGGGGAGGGGTGCTGGATGGACCGGGGAGACCTCTCTGGGGCCATGTGCCCCCCCCCACTTCCTCCACATTCACTGATCAGGACCCCGAGCACGTGGCCGATGCAGGGACAGCGCCCCATTCCCTGTCCTCGGCACTCCGAAGGATGACCGGGGAGGCGGAGGAGCTTCCCGCACCTTCCAGGGCAGGAGAGGGACTGTAAGAGGCAGTTGGAGGAGGAGGGACAGGCACAGGGAGAGAGAGAGGGCCTACGGCCTAAAGACAGACCAATCCGGGGGCGGCCGCGGACAGAGGCGGCCAGAGCACGCCCGGGCCCAGCGCTGGGGCAGCGGCCTTTCGGCCAGAGGACACGGGGTCCGAGGCTGGGCGCACACACCTTCCCGCACCACAGGTAGCAGCAGGACGGGGTCTTGAGGATGAAGACGTCGTTGGAGTTGAGGGAGGAGGCCCGGGCGGGGAGCTCGAAGGCCTTGGTGTTGTTGGCGCTGGTTCCTCGGACCTGGAAGAGCCGCGTGGCGGGCACCGGCTCCGGGGGGTCCTTGTCCCGGGAGGTGCCTCCCTGCGGGCGAGAGGAGAAGGCGGGAGTGGCTCAGTGACGAGGCGGCATCGGAGGGACACGGAGGAAGAGATGCCGGGGTGGGGCCTGCCGCCCCCCGGGGTCCGCGGAAACGTCACGTGAATCTTCCCGAGACAACCGGTCCCGGCGCATCGGCCTCAGACCCCGCAGTGGCTCCCGCTGCTCACAGCCTAGAAGCCAGCCTTCAGAGGGGCCTTCCGACGCCCGGCTCGGGGAGGGTGCAAACTGCCTCCTCCGCTCTCTCCGCACCTGCCCGTCCACCTCGGCCAGCCTCCTCCCGCCCCACAGACACTCTTCAGCCCCCGCCCTGCTGTGGCCCCTGCCCTGCGCGCCCGCGTCTCAGCTCTGCTGCGCCGTCAGCTGACCCCAATGCCAAGACTTTTCTCAAACCCCCTTCCCACTAGGAGCTCCCTGCCTCTTCCCAGGTTACTGCATTCACATTCCCCTCTGAGCTCAACGTGTGTTCCTGGCACTTAACCACACGGTGCCCCCTGCCCTCCCAACAAGATGGCAGACAGTGTGAGCGAGCGTTCTCCACACGGGGCGCTCCGCATTGGGCTATGGGCTCAGTGGGTTCTCGGTAAACAGACTGTTGCTTAAATGAATGCAAAGGCTCTCTCTCTCACCATCCCTGTGCCTGGATGGTGAGAGAGAGAGCCTTTTCATTATGTCAGAAGGCACCGATGCATTTGAGCAAGTCCGTGGTTTTGGTAAACCCAGCCAGAATAACTTCCTTTTTTTATGTAAAGGACCTGAAGGGTGGAGGTGTAGGGAGAAGCAGTGCTTGCACATACTGCGTGCTCCTCACGTGGGTTTTAAAAACACCGGGTGGTGTTTCTACCCCAGTGATGGAGCCTCAACAGTCCCCTCCTGTGGAGAACAGGCCTCCCCCACAGCCGCCCCCATCCCTGGCCGCCCGCCCCGCCTCAGGCCGACAGCCACACCTGGTAGACCACCATTTGCCCCTTGAAGATGGACATGAGATGCAGTGGCTCCTTGCCCATCGGGACGCGGATCTGGACCGGCTCGTTGTTGTACTGCTGGTCCAGGATGACGGCCTGATAGGCCGAGGCGGCGATCTCATCCGGGCTGGCCTGGCTGCCCTGGGTGGAGCGGAAGGGAAGGGGCGGGAGGCGGTCAAGTCCTCAGTCTGACCCCACTCCTGGCCTCACCAATTCCGGCCCCAAACCCAACCGCCTTCCCCATCCAACCCCGTCCTGTCACAGCCAACCCAACCTGCCCCCCATCTCAGCCCTGGTCCCCGCCCCACACCAGCCAGTCCCAGCCCCAGCCCAGCCTGACCCCCCGGCCCTGACCCCAAACTCCCTCTCCTCCTCCCTGAGCCTCTCTCTGGGGAACACCATGGCTGCCACCTCCCTCACCCCCGCATCTCCCTGCGCCCGCACCTCTGGGCGCAGAAACCCACGGAGCAGGCGAAGGGAAACGCAAGAGGCCATGAAAACGAGAAGGGAGGCTCAGAGGGGAAACAGAGAGAAAAGGGTTGCTGTGAATGGGGTTCTCAGTGTCGGGGATCCCACGGCCAAAGCAGTCCCCAGGCGGAGAAGCGGGAGCGCCCCGTCCCCGCAGGACCCCGCACGGGGGCGCCGCTTGGCCAGGAGGTGGCGGGCAGGAGCTGACCTGCCAGATGTAGAGCAGGTAGTTCCGCTTCTCCCCGATGAGGTAGGTGTAGAGCAGCAGGTAGCAGTCGCCCCCGTAGAAGTGGCCCAGCCACTTGGGCTCCACGGGCACCAGCTCCAGGTTCTCGATGCGCCACACCTGGGGCCGGAGCCAGGCGGTGTGAGGTCTGGGACCGGCGCCGCCGGCCCCGCGTCCCCAGGCACGGCGCCCCCTCCCCTCGTCATACCTGCACCTCCCCGCTCCCGTCGTCCACCAGCCTCTGCTGGGCAGCCACCTGCGGCTGGATGTGCATGGAGGCCGCGTCAAACTTCACCTGCTCCACCTTGGCTGGAGGGGAGGGAGTCACAGGTGAGGTCCCGGGGCCCTCACCACATGAGCCTTAGGCCCATTTTATTTATTGTTACTTTAAAAAAAAATATATTGTATTGGTTTTTCACAGAGAGGAGGGGAGAGGGATAGAGAGTTAGAAACAGCGGTGAGAGAGAAACATCGACCAGCTGCCTCCGGCACACTTCCCACCGGGGATGTGCCCGCAACCAAGGCACATGCCCTTGACCGGAATCGAACCTGGGACCCTTCAGACCGCAGGCCAACGCTCTATCCACGGAGCCAAACCGGTTTTGGCACGTAGACTCATTTTAGAGATGATGAAGCCGAGACCAGAGAGATTCCGTAGCTTACCCAAGGTTGCATATGGCAGAGTTATAATACAGAATCGTCAACTCCTTGTCCCTAAGAGCCATGCTTCCCCAGGTCACCCCCGGGGAGCCGGGAGAGGGGTTACCCTTTGTGTCCTCCCCCAGGTGCCTGGCCCTGAGCTTGCCCACAGCCAACATTCTCTGGTGAGAGACTGAGCTACTGGCTTCCAGGGAGACCCAAGCCCATTCCGAACGAGGGGCAGGTCATTCCTGGCTCCCGTTGGTGACAGCTCCTGAGTGGGCCCACGTGCCCTCCTGTCCCCACACCAGCTGGGGGCACAGACCAGGGTGAAGGGCACACAGCGGAGGGGCAGCCGGGAGGAGCCCCGGAGGCAGACCGAGTGCTCTCCCAGCCCCACTCCCGGCTCCCGGCCACCGGCCCTGCCCGGCCCTCACCCACGGAGCCCACGGTGTGGGTCTTGCCCAGGCCCGAGGTCCGGCTGGGCACCGTCCACTTCTGGAAGAGCTGCTGGAAGACGGCAGACTCGGCCCCGTCATTCTGCACCTCCACCTGCGTGCTCGGCGGGTACTGCTTGGCCTTGATGAAGTTCTGGGGAGAGACGGGGAGGCGGGGCTGTATCCCACTCCTCACCCCCAACCTGGTACAAGCCAAAGCCTGGCTCCTACCCCTGGTCCCAACCCGGAACCTAGTCCCAATGCTGACCCTGCTCTGGCCCCGACTTCCGGTCCAAACCAGACCCTAAACCTGACACAATCCCAAACCTACCTCTGACCCCCACCCCAACGCCAGCCCTGACCCCTCCACAATTTTAACCCCGGCCGTCAGCTCCATGGTCAGCCTGAACCCAATCCTCAACCCTACGCTGACCCCAAGTCAGTCAGGGTGGCTGACTGAGCTCAACAATGACCCCAAACTCTGCCTGGCCCTGCCCCATGCTGACCCCATCTTCTCTGTGGGAAGGGCGGCCTCCATTCCTCGTCCTCCCTTTTCTGAACTCAGCTGGAGGGAGGAGCCCACATCCTCAGGAGCCCCCCATGTTGCCTGGTGCTCAGCTCTCTGAGGTGCAGAGAACCCTCCAGATGGCTCCAGAGCAGACGCTCGGACCCCAGTGGGGTCAGGCCCAGAGCACGCCCTGGCCGCTACGCTCCCGTCTGACCCTCTCCCCTCTCCCCACAGTCTCTCCTCGACCCCGTGCCCACCAGGGCCTGGCTCATGGCTCCTTTCCGCTCCTCGGCGTTAGCCTTCTTCCCCTTCCACACGTAGATCTTCAGACCGCCCTGGTCCAGGATGTAGCAGTCCTAGAGGGAGACAGAGACCCGGACGAGGCCTGGTGGAGCGCAGTGCTGGGCTGGCACACCCGCCCGGGCCCCCTGCCCCCAGCCCTGCCCCCAGCCCTGCCCCCCCCACCCCACCCCCACACTGCTGGCTTGAGGAAGCTTGGGAGCCAGGGTGGGGGTGGGGGGGTCGCGCCCGCTCACCTCGTGTTTGAGCAGGTCTTGCGTGAGTGGCCGTGTGGCGACCTCTCTGACCACCAGCTTCCCCTCTGAGTCAGACACGCTGCGGGATGATGGCACAGCGTGACCCAGGGGGCTCGCCCCTCAGTGGCACTCTGCCCCCCAGAGGTCCCCGCACCGGGGGAGCCCGGCGGGCACTCACTGGTACAGCTTGAGGGCGGCCTTGAGCGCGGGCTCCACCACCGTGTCGGGCACGGCTGCCTTCAGCTCCGTGCGCTTGCCCAGCACGTGGTCCATGACCTCCATCAGCTGCGGGGACGCCTTCTCGTTCTCCCCGTCCACCACGGCCACGTAGGTCCGCCCCCCTCGCTCCTGGTCCCGGATCTCCTTGGCCAAGGTCGTGCCCTGCGGAGAAGCCCGGTGACCCACGCAAGCCGGCAGGGACAGGACCCAGCCACAGCCAGCCCTGCAGCCGCCCCGAGGGGGGGGGCACCCCCTGCTTGTCTCCCTGGAGGGGAAACAGGCAAGGACCGGCTGGGTGAAGGCTGCTTCAGGCGGACATGGTTTGCCTTCACTTTCCACGTGGTTTGAAATTTGTGATTTTACTTCACAGTTTTGGACAAGAGCTGAGCTCTGAAGATCACAGGACTCCGTCTCTTTGCCCCATAGCATGCTTAAACACAGGTGCACACACACACACACACACACACACACAGAGTCATATACACACACAGCTTCACGTGTGCACACACACATATGCATAAACCCACACACCCGGACAGCACAGTTTCTCCTGTCCTCACACACAGACACACACACACACACTAGGGTGAACAGTTCACATGTTCACACACACACTCACACACACACATACACACACACACACACACACACACACACCCTGGCTCGCCCTCCTCAGCCCAACATCTACTGCTCAGTTAGGGGCATTGAGTCCCAGGCCCCGCTCCCTCCCTCCAAGGCGATCTCACCCACCCCATATTTCTGTCTCCATCTCAGCTCCCCGCTCTCCCGTATTTATCCAACCCCCTAAGAGCCCCATTGTAAGATGTCCAAACTGGACTCGGCATTTTCTTCCCAAACCTGTGGCTCCCTGATCTTTCCCGTCTCAGGAAACGGGACTCCGGCCAGCCCTGTCCTGGTGATTGCTCAAGCACAGTGTGAGTTCGCCCTCTCGCTTCACCCCCACACAACCCACCAGTCTAATGGATTCCACCTTCCCAGCCAAGGAGCCAGGCACCCGCCCACCCTCACCCCTGGGCCCCTTCATCGCCTGTGTCACTCAGAGGTCAGGTGGCCTTCAGCAGCCTCCCTGGCCCTGAGAACCAATGCCGACCCTCCCACACAGCCTTCTGACCACATGCCACGCCCCTATGAGACAAGCTCGCTTCGTCTCCCAGCTCCCGAACCCCGTCTCAGGCTCTCACTGCCCAGGCAGCCCCCAGCCCCAGCCGTTTCTCTCCTGCCCGAGGGCCTTCTCCTCCCCACCCTCAGCAGCTCCCAGGAGCTCTCCCAGAATTCCCAGCTGTGCACCCCACCCTCCACCTCTCCATTATCCCATTCATGTCCATCCTCCACTGGATGCTCAGCTGGAGGCCAAAGCCAGGGCAGGGCTCTGCTCCCTTCATCCACCACCGGATCCCAAACGCTTGGCACCGGATGTGCCCACACAGCGGGTACCCACTCAATCTCAGGGGATTCACCACGGGTGCACACACTGTGCCAACTCCAACAGGCAGACCTGTCCCCAAACACATGGAGACTCAGCTCCGCCGTCAAACACCACCCCGGAGAGAAGGCCTGGGGAGATGGAGGCAGCTGGGCAGCGGGGGTCTGGGGGAGGCGGGGTGCTGGTGTGCAGGGCAGGTGGGGGCAGGGGCGGGCTTGGGGGAGGGGCGATCATGGCAGGTTTACCCTGAGTCTCTCCATGTGGTTGCTCTCGGGCCCGTTCCACTGGATGATGACCTTGCCGAGGTCCAGGAGGAAGACATCCCCGCGGTTGAAGCTCTTCCAGGACATCTCCACCTGGAGAGCCACGGGGGAGAGGGAGAGCCCACTCAGACCCCTCCCGTCACCCGTCATCGCTTCCCCCTCGCCTCCCAGACCCTCGTCCTTCTCCGGCCTCTGCCCTGCACCCCGATGGGAGGAGCACAGGAGGCCACGCCCCGGGCTCTGGTGCATGCCCACCTCTCCGGCCACCACGTTCCGCTTGCCCTTCACGTGCAGCAACCGCCGGACGTTGCTGGAGTTGGTCTCCACGTGCTTCATGCCCGAGGCCACGCCCCCTTTCCGGATCCTGGGGGGAGAGGTGAGCTGACCCCAGGGTGGGCTGGACGTGTGGCAGGTCTGGCTACAGCAGGCCTCTGAGGGCAGGGGCTGGTGAGTGCCAAAGGCACCGCAGGGGCAAACTTGAAGGAGACACTCACTCACAGGGGCATGCACGTGTGCGCTGCCCGCATGGGCGTGACCCTGGCAGGGAGGCCTCCTGGAAGTGTGCTCCCTAGACCGCTCCATCCCCCCTAGTCTCCCCCGCTGGGAGCCCTCCACAGACAGGGCATGGCCATGTGAAGGACAGCAGAGGGCTCTGATGCAGGGGCTGAAGAGAAGGAAAAGAGGGTAGATTCCATGGACTGAACTGTGCCCCCTCCCAGCCTCACATGCTGAGGCCCAGACCCCCAGAGACGGGACTGCTGGGAGGTCACGGATGTGGAGGTTTTGATGACGTCGTGGGGTTAGTGCCCTTATAGGAAGAGACAGAGTTCAATTCCAGTCGAGGACAGGTGCCCGGGGGGTGGGCTCGAAATAGGGGCCGTGCAGGCAGCAATCAGTGATTCTCTCTCCCTCATCATTCATGTTTCTATCTCCCTTTCCCTGAAATCAATAAAAATATGTATTTTTTTTTAAAGTGCCAGCTCAGATGACCAAATGAGTGAATGCTGCGGTCAGTGTGGGAAGAAGGGGGCAGCGAGACCAAAGGGAAGGGTGGGGACCGCGGCTAACTGGAGGACTCCTGGCTTGTCACTGCAGATCAGTGACAACCTGGTTCCTGACCAGGTGTTTCTCTGGGGAAAGTCCAGAGCCTGGAAAGTGAGCTTTCAGTGTAAAGCTCACTCTGCTTTAGAGAAAGGAGCAGTCATTTGCCAGCTGGTCGGTTCGAGGGGAGGCTTGACGTGACTCCCTGAAGGCTGGTTTACAAACATTCAGGGCACACAGAGTTACAGGACTTCGGAACGGCATATGGGCAGCCAGAGACAGCACGTGCAAGGACAGGCAGCAGCAGAAGGGGGAGGGGGGAGTGGGAAAAACAGACCACCCTCGCGGGCTCCCCCACAGCCTCAGGCTCCCTTCCCAGCTCCAGCCCTGTCCCCCAGCCTCAGGGGCGCCTCCCCGCCCTGGCCCGCTCCCCAGCCCGCTGCGCGCCCTCCGTACACAAGGCCCTTCTTGAAGTAGCCGCGGAACGCCTCGCTCTCGTTGCCCTGGACCTCCCGGTGCTGGACGGCCCGGCCCTTCAGGAAGTCGTCCATCTGCGTGGTGTAGATGGCCGCCGCCCCCTGCTCGTCCTGGGAGGAGGCCTGGCCGATCCAGTAGTGGATGTCGTAGGACAGGTTGCTGCCCGTCTTGTGGATCTGGGGAGAGGGGGCGTCCGATGTGCCCGAGATCCGGGGCTCCCGCAGCGCTCCCCGCCTCCCTGCTCTGCACGGGACCCCGGGCCCAGGCGGCCTGGGCCACAGAGGAGCCCGGGGCTGTGGCTCCGGACCTTCCTCTGGCTCAGGGGCCAGCAGCTCCCTCTGGGCCTTGCTCGCCCCGCTCTGGGAAAGAGCTGAGCTGGACTAGCAGCCCTTCCCCACGTGCTGTGCATGGACCGGCTGAGGCCCCGGGGCTGAGGTGATAGACAAGCCAATGTCCAAGTGAAATGACTATAGCAGTACTTCATGGCCCTTTCTGCGTGGGACATGGGACACCGCTTTCCACTTCGGCGATGGTACAGAGTTATGTTTTTAAATCAATGCATTTAACTTTTAAAAGTGTGTTATATGCCCGGTTGGTGTCGCTCAGCAGATGAGCAACAACCCAGGAACCAAGAGGCTGCTGGTCAGGGCACATGCTCAGGGTGTGGGCTTGATCCCCAGGAGGGGTGTGCAGGAGGCAGCTGGTCAATGCTGTTCTTCTCTTATTGCTGTTTCCATCTCTCTATCCCTCTCCCTCTTTCTAAATTAAAAAAAAAAAAAATGCATTTTAAAAAAAGTTTTGAGAAACAATAGAAATGCATTAATAGTACAGGTAGTAGCCGAAACCGGTTTGGCTCAGTGGATAGAGCATCGGTCTGCGGACTGAAAGGTCCCAGGTTCGATTCCGATTAAGGGCATGTACCCGGGAGGGGATGTGCAGGAGGCAGCTGGTCGATGTTCTCTCTCATCAATGATTCTAACTCTCTATCTCTCTCTCTTCCTCTCTGTAAAAACTCAATAAAAATATACATATTTTAAAATATAGTACAGGTTGCTGAAACCGGTTTGACTCAGTGGATAGAGCGTTGGCCTGCAGACTCAAGGGTCTCAGGTTCGATTCCGGTCAGGGGCATGTACATTGGTTGCGGGCACATCCCCAGTAGGGGGTGTGCAGGAGGCAGCTGGTCGATGTTTCTCTCTCATCGATGTTTCTGACTCTCTATCCCTCTCTCTTCTTCTCTGTAAAAAAATCAATTATATATATATATATATATATATATATATATATATATATATATATATATATTAATTTATTTATTTATTTATTTTAAATAGTACAGGTAGTAGCCGGATGTGGCCAAAACCAAGAAGGTGATATGAAGACGGTTGTGAATTTTGGAAATGTGGCCTCAAGGAGGGTGACATCCCACTCGCTCAGAAGGTCCTCGGGGCTATGAATCCACAGAAGGCCACCTCCGCTGGCAGCTCCGGGGCCCAACGGCAGGCAGAACCTCTTACAGCTCTGAGCCTGCAGAGCTGCCGCTGCGCTGGGCCATGGGCACATCTGGTGGGAACAGCCTGGGGCTAACGCCTCAGGTCTCCTCCCTGGACCCACAGAGGCTCTGCTCTCTGTCCAGCTCTCACCCACCCGCCCCTACTCACCGCAAGGAGCACGTAGCAGTCCCCATCGAAGAAGCTGCCGAAGCTGCTGGGCGGAACGGGCACCATCTGCATGGCCTGGGGAGAGAGGGAGGTCAGAGGGGCTGCCCCGGACCACTCGGACCCAGGCATCCTCTACCTTCAGCACAGGAGTGGGAGAGGCAGAGAGCTAGCAGGAGGAGGGCATGGCAAAGCTGATGAGGAGAAGGGATGTGAGGAGGGAGGGGGAAAGGAGCAGGAGGAGAGGCCGATGCCCAAGGATGGGGAGGGGGCACTTGGAGGCTGGCAGGGGGGCTCCCCGCCAGCAGGGAAGGGTTGGAGGACAAGAAGCATAATCCCCCGCCTTTTCCTCCCTCCATCCTCTCCCCCGTCCCACCCCCAGGCAGGCCTCACCTCAATCCTCCATATCTTCACCCCAGGGGTGGTGATGTTGAGGGAGCCTTTGACTTGGGCGCTCAGCTTGGTCATGGTGATGAGCCTGAGGGGGGAGACGTGTGAGAGGAAGGACTGGGGAGCTGGGAGCGCTGGGCGTTCAGGTGCTGCTCTCCCAGCCCAGCCCCCAGAGCTTCCACCCCCCCCCCCCACCCGGTGCCAGGAGGCCAGGGACCTGAGGGGGACGGACCTGGGGGGAGATGAGGCTTGGCTCCCTACTCTGGGCCCTGATTGGCTGAGGGCCCAGACCCATGTCTCCTTTTTTCCTGAGACCCGGTTCTCATCTTGTCACTCTCTCCCTCCAACGCCTGACCCCCTGTCACTTTCTGAACAAAGCTCCGCCCCTTAGCCTACCACGCAAGGCCCTTCTAGCCCCCAACCATTTTCTTCTTGAGATTTTTCATCAAAGATTGGTTTTTAAAAACCATAGAGTTGTGTGTGTGTGTGTGTGTGTGTGTGTGTGTGTGTGGTTTTTTTTAAAGAAAGGAAAGAATAACAAGGGCTGAAAAGTGTGTGCACCAAAAGAATTGACTAAACAGGTGTTCAAACAAATGCTGGTCCATGGAGCTCACAGAAGTCTTATTCACAGCGGCCCCCAGAGCAGAAATATCCCAGGCATTCATCGGCCGGTGAATGGATACACAAAAGGTCGCATATTCCCACAGCGGAGTACTATTCAGCACAAAAGGTACGGCACATGCTATAATATAGATAAACCTTGAATACCTTCTGTTTAGAGAAAGAAGCCAGACACAGAAGGCTTGTGTGATATGACTCCGTTTATATGAAACACTCAGACGAGGCGAATCTGTGGAGATAGTATGGTTTTTAGGGGCCGTGGGGAGCGGAAAACTGGGAATCGCTGCTATTGGGCGTGGAGTTTCCAATTGGGATGTTGAAAAACTCCGGAGTTAGACAGAGGGTGCTGGCTGGGTGATGCTGTGAATGTGCTGAACGCCACCAAACGGTACGCTTTGAGGTGGTTAGAATGGCAAGTCTTGTGTTGGATGTTTTACCACAATAAAAAAGCTGTTTCCTCTTCCTCCCAGCACCCCCTAGCACCCCTCAGTCACGGTTCTCTGGCCCCCAAGGTGCAGACTCCACGGCGTGGGGTCAGGGCTGTTTCTTCAGGGCTGATCCTCCCTCCCCATGCAGCACTTTGCTGGGTGGGTGGACAGATAGATGTGTGTGTAGGTGGCTGAGGGGATGGATGGACGGATGCATGGATGGATGGATGGAGGAGTGAATGAAGAATGAATGAATGACAGAAGGAACTCTCCCCTGTGAACCGCCTTCTACCTGCTCGCCTGGGAGGAACCTCCCCTCCCCACGCTCTTTCTCTGTATCCTTTACGGCACTTTCGGTTTTGACTTGTAACTGTGTTCTCCGCTTCAGCTGCTCCTCAGAATCACGTGGGGAGCTTTTCAACGCTACCGACTCTCCGTGGGCAAGCCACTGCCCAGGGACCCTGACTGCACTGGGGGGGGGGGGGGGGGGGGCGGTACAGCCTGGGCACGGGTGCTCTATTTTCTGCCTTTTGAGAGGCGAGGCATGGGTGCTTCCTAAACTCCCCGGTGGGTGGGCCGAAACCAGTGTGGCTCAGTGGACAGAGCGTCGGTCTGTGGACTGAAGGGTCCCAGATTCGATTCCGGTCAAGGGCATGTACCTTGGCTGTGGGCACATCTCCAGTAGGGGGTGTGCAGGAGGCAGCTGGTCGATGTTTCTCTCTCATCGATGTTTCTAGCTCTCTATCCCTTTCCCTTCCTCTCTGTGAAAAATCAATAAAATATATTAAAAACAAAAATCTCCCCGGCGGTTCTGTGTGAACCAGGGCGGAGGACCCGGTCCCCAGGCCCCAGTGGTCCTCGTCCCTGGCTCTCTGCCCTCCCGAGCCCCCCACCCCGCCTGGCACAGTCACCCCCCGAGAGCGCTCCGAGAGCGGATGCGTAAGGAACGAGAGACCGGGGTCCAGCCTGACATGGCAGCCTCACTCTATCTAATCTCTGCACCTTGCCTCTGAGTCACCTCTGGGGACGATGACCTGGCCTTTTACTGCTCGGAAACTCCCTCTTCTGAGCCCTGAGGGGTGTCCCCTCGCCCTGCACTCCGGAGTCTGGGGCAAGGTCTCCTGGCCCCGCTGCCCTCCAGCAGATCGGGGCCACCTGCCGGCAGCCGGCACAGAGCTGGCGCCTGGCTCCCGCCTGACGTCCCTGCGGGCCCCGGGCCCCGCTGTGAGTCCAACCCGCAGGGACTCCTGGCTCAGCAGAACCGATGTGGGTGCCAAGGAAGAGAATGTTCGTTTTATTTCCTTCACCACCTTTGTCGACATCCCCTTTTCTCCCTCCCCTCTGACGCTAGCTGTATGAACACGGGCCTGCTCGTCATTTACGCAGGGAGGGGAGGGTCAATGAGATGATCTCTGAAGTCCCACGGGGACACGCTCTGATGCTGGGAGTAAACAGCAGGAGGAACAGAGGGTAGACACGAGGAGGCACTTCCTGTCCAGCAGAGAGGAGCTCCAGGTAATAGGACTCAGAAAAGCTCCGGAGAGAGCGATCTGGACTGGGGGCCTCCGGCAGCCAGGGGTGGGCAAGTGGGTCTAGAGAGGGCGGCTTTGAGAGGCCCCCCATGTTGCTCCTCCCTCTCCCCTCCTGTCCTAGCTCCTGCTGTCCCCCTTACTGACAGCCTCCCCGCCTGTCTGCACTTGGCTAAGACTGAAACATTCTTCTGGCCTTCATTTAGGTCTCGCTTCTCCCAGGAGACTTTCTCAGGATCCTCAGGCTGGTGTAGGCCCCCCCCCCCCCCGTCTGGGGCCCCAAAGCACCTGGACCGATGGCAGCCCTGTCCCCTGACCACCTGGTGAGGGAACGGCCTGTTTGTAAGCCTGAGGTCCTTTAGGCCGAGGACCCAGACGTGTTTGTCTGTGCAGCCCCCGCTCCCAGCACATGGCAGGTGCTCAGCAAGTCGCTGGAAGGCTGAGCTGTGGGGTGGAAGGGGACTGACGCTCTTGGGGCCTCGGAGGGAGTTAGGGTTCCTGTCTGGCCAGGTCCCGTCTCTCCTTTCTTCTCTGCTGCCCTGTTGTCCTCAGAGTCCGGGCCCTGAGAGCCTGGGACGCTGTCACAGCTCTTAGTCCTCATCACGTGGCCCAAGCTGGACGGAGATGTGGCCATCCCCAGAACAAGGACACCTGCTGGCCTCCCCGGGCCGTAACCACAGAGGGATGGCCTCGCCCCGGCCCCCCGCCTCCAGCCTCTGCCCCTCCGGCCCTGAGGGTGCCTGGGGAGCTTCCTGGGGAGGGGCGGTCCGTAGGTCCCAGCCCCCTCCTCTGCACCGTCCTGCCTTCGCTCCCCTTTCAGCTGACGGGGACCAGAGTGGCTGGTGAGGCCAGGGGACCATGGGCCCTGGTGGACGGGAGGTGGGGCAGGTCGTGGGCCAACGCCAAGCACCAGTCCCTGCCTCTGCCCACTCCATCCCTGAAGGCTGCTGATCTCACCCTAGGACCCGAGAGACCGGAGTCCTGAGATGCCAGGAGTGTCGGGGGAAGGGTGGCACAGACAGAAACCACTTCCCATGGCAGAGAAATGGGCGAGGAGGTGAGGGAGCGGAGGAGTGAGGGCAGGGAGTCCTGGCTAGCTCAGGACCGTCAGAACTCTAATTCCCAGAGTCCCCACCTCTGGGTTCTCCTCCGGGCCGGCAATGGGATGGCTGGCACCTGCAGTGAGGCGGGCCAGCGACAGGCAGGGGCCAGCGGAGCCCGCACAGGTCTTCCTGGGAAGCACGGGAGCCCCGGCTCACGGCTCTCCCCGGACTCCAGGGCGCCTGGCCTCGCCCTCAGGAGGCCCCACGTTGCTGAGAGAAGTGAGGGGCCCTGTCCCCTCCCCGCGTGTCCCGCCGGTCCCCTTACCTGCGGGAGAAGGCAGCTGCCACCTGGGAGGTCTCAGGGAGTTGTGGCGAGCTGGCTGCGGACGGGCGAGCGACCTTTGTCCCCACCCCCTCCTCCAGGAACTGCCCTCTCCATATAAGGAAAGATAGGGCCCTTGGGAGAGGGAGAATGGTGAGGGGGTGGGGAGGCAGGTGCACAGGTCCCTGGAGCCAGGAGCCTGAGGACAGCCAGACCCCACGTCCCTCCCCCACGGGGCCCCTGGTTCCGCCAGGGATGGGGTCATCGCTGCCCCAGCCGGGCCCGCACTGCGGGGGACAGCACTGAGGGCGGGTGGACAGCACCAGCAGGGAAGGAGGCCCGCGCCCCTCCCTCCTCCTCTGGGGGAATGGCTCATGGGGCCAGGGGGCCCCAGAGCCACGGATGCAGGGCCAGGGGTGCACGCTCAGGGTCCCTCCAGGACAGAGGGGACCCCAACACCGTAGAGGTCTCCTGTACGTGGCAGGGCACTCGCTCAGAGGGGCACAGATGTTCTTCTCGTGCCCCCACCCCGTCCAGGCTGCACCTGGAATATTTATGAGCCGCCATAAACCGGTGCCTTTGGACTCTGCCACCTCTCCCAGCCGCCCGTCTCCATGCCCGGCGCCTGAGCCTGGGGGCCCAGGGTTCAGGATGGGGAAGGAGAGCAACTCTAGATCCCACTCCTAGGGATATATCCTAAAAACCACAAAGCACCAATCAGAAAGAATGTATGCAGCCGAAACCAGTTTGGCTCAGTGGATGGAGCGTTGGCCTGCGGACTGAAAGGTCCCAGGTTCGATTCCGGTCAAGGGCATGGACCTTGGTTGCGGGCACATCCCCGGCAGGAGGTGTGTAAGAGCCAGCTGATCGATGTTTCTCTCTCATCGATATTTCTAGCTCTCTATCCCTCTCCCTTTCTCTCTGTAAAAAAAAAAAAAAAAATCAATAAAATATATTTTTTTTTAAAAAAGAAAGAATGTATGCACCCCTATGCTCATAGGAGCATAATGTACACTAGCTAAGATCTGGAAACAGCCCCAGTGCCCATCAGCAGACGAGTGGATAAAAAGCTGTGGTACATTCATCCCATGGAATACTATGCAGCTGTAACAAAAACGGATCTCTTACCCTTTGA